ACGAACAGTTAGGGTATATGTTTTTAAATGCCTTTTTTGTACGCACTCTATTCTATCTGACAGATCACGTTTGGCCGGGGGCGGGGGGGCTAGTGGTATACTAGTATACCCGAAAAAAATTCGCCAAAATACCCAAAAATACCCAAAATTCATCCAAATATACCCAAAATTATGCCCAGGTATACTTTATACCTGAAATTCAAAGAAAGTGATATACCGAATACCCGTATTTAAGCTGCAATATACCGTATACCTGATTTAAAAAGCCCCTGTATACCGTATACCCAAAAACCCTGGCCGACCCTTACAGATAGTCAGGAATGTCTTGCCACACACCTGCACGGCATATTCTAAAATCTGTCTAACACTACTTCTAAAGACTTGTTCTTGTTGTTCTTGCACGCCAGCTCTCTTTAATACACATGTAGTCTGAGAGCGTAAAGTTTCTTTGATGCCTTAGAGGTAATATAGTCAACATGGCAGTTCCATTTCCAGTTCTCATTAATGATTACTGCAAGCAAATTGTATGATGAAATTCTTTCTACCATTTGATTTCCTATATGCAGGGGTCTCATCATAGTGTTCGGATTTCCCATAAAGTTCACGACCATCTCCTTACATTTTGGGGGGTTAAAATGATAAAAACTAAAATAGATAAAATGCTGCCATCCACCAATCTCCAATATACACAGGCTCCTACCATGCACTTTTTAGATCTACTACTTGAGAAAGTCATCTCCCATATTTACCTTAGGAACACTCGATATGATAATCATACATCTCTAGTGAAGCCAACAAAGAATTAGGCATAGTTAACAATGGAATCCTGCTGTAACTGAGGGAGTTTATGAGTACTTCAATACGCCCTGTTTTTACTGTGCGGCATGAAACATACCCTACCGCAAAAATGATAACCTGTTTATCATAAGTGCGATCTTGAGCGCAGAAAGAATAGCATCCATAGCCAAAAGAAAACAGCCCAAAATCCAGTTTCGAGCAATCTTTTTACCCAGTGTGATTGTCGTAAACTGGTCAATGAACTCTAAAATTAAACATAACTGCGTCCAGTCCTGTCTGTCTTTGAAAGCAAGTAATTAATTAGCGAGCCTTGCCAAAAATAAAATCCTTGAGACAAATAAACCGCGCAAGTGGAAAAGATTATTTTCCGGAAACGTGAAATGATTAATTGAAACCCTTATTGAGAGTTTGTGGCGGTTTCTCCATAGCTGACATACTGTACCTCTAGGAACTCACGAACTTAAGGGTCCGCGCCCTAACTGACAGTACTCCAAAATAAACTACTGTAGCGATAGCCTTAGTAGGGATATTACGAGCAAACCTCTTTCATTTCTCATCACTTTCTTTCCTTCTAGTCTTTTTGGGGTTCAACAATATCAGTCAGGAGACCAGAAGTCAGTTGGAGAGAAGGTTTTTCACATCATTTCCATATTACAAAAGTGTTTTATGTGTCTCAGTAAAGATGGGCACTTTTTTTTCGTACTAGAATTTACTTAAAATGAAGTTTATCTCGAAGCGGTAAAGTAAAAACACTTCTTTTGACCGTGTTTCAGTATATGTACGCCTAAAAATCGTGCCAAAGCCCACTTCCGGTATACGGGGGGGGGGGTGGATGGTCGTCATCTCGACTAGGGGTGTAAATTTAGGATTTAGTCTCACTTAGGGTGTTCTGGGCAAAACGCCATCATATTTAGCCGTAAAGGTCTCTTTTAGGGTTGTACGCGAGGAAATATAAACAAATTATTCGTCTGTGTTTTAAAATGGTCTTTTTTAGGGGTCAAAAAATGGTTGGGTCACGCCCAGTTTGGTCTCCTTTACGTCGGGGCTTAATTCAAAACCTGACAAAGGGAACGGTGTTGTTATTATTAACAAACTTGATTATTTAATTCAAAATTGCAGATGAGCATCCACGCCCCTTTCATATGGGAGTATCCTCCCAGATTGCTGCAATTATTAGTTGAAAACTGTTCAGGGGGCTTAATGGGGGCGAGTTTACGCTGACAGATACATACACGAGGGTCTGAATGGGGTTAACTGACTAGTAACAAACGGCGAAAAACATAACTGACTAACCACAAAACGAGAAAATCATTTACCGACTACCGGCAGGAAAACTATTAACCGACAACCAGCATGGTCCGACATTGTAGGGATGTTTTTAAACAGAAATAAATCGTATTTTTTTATTCCTCAGTTTTATCAAAAGTATTGCGTGAAGGTAGATCACGTTAAATCCCAATTTCTTTACTTATAGAATTTCATGTCCTCAACTTACTTGTGTCAAGGTTCGTGTTGCGGTAACTTCGCGGCAAAACATTGTCCTGTTTGTTTGTTTGCTTGTTTTTTTGTTTTTGTTAGTTTTGTTTTGTCTGTGTTTACCACCCATAGGATCTATTTGCAAAATACAACTGAAATTCCACAACGGGACTGATTTTTACAAACAGCTCAATGGAGCTTGCTTAAACAGGGGCACCCAACTGGCATTGTTACACGTATTTTAGTATTTAAACGGTAGATAGAGGCATATTTTTATCCCCCCAAAATCTTTCATCTGTTCGGATTTCCTAGCTGAAAGTCTAGTGATTCGAAAATTATAGGGATAAAAACTTACTTTTTCGAAAATTTCAGGAGAAAAAAGGCTCCCGAAAATTCTAGGTGACCTTTTAAGGGTAAAAATCCGTTAAAAATAGGCAATTATACCATTGTTTAGGTGTTCGAAAATCCTAGGAGAGGCAGGCAAGCAAGAAATTTTACAACAAATGTTCCGAAAATTCTAGAACTCAAATCGTCTTCCGAACAGATATTTTCCGAAAATTGCCTTTGGGTGCCCCTTCTTAAAATCTTCCAGCCTTATGTTTCTCGATATTATTATCTTGTGTTAAGCCTAAGAAACTTGATGTAAAGGATGTAAGGCAAATAAAGAAATCTTATTACAACAATTTGTGGCTTGGAAAGCTAAAATTTAAAACCTGTCTGGTTGTCAACAAACCATATCGGCGATAATCCACTACAACAAAATATGTCACTTAGGAAAGCTTCCCTTTCAATTCGTGTAAAATTAATTGCTTGTCATGTCAAACGTAATTAATATTCGATACTCTTTTCCTTCCGGCGGCACGCCGTCGTTATACTCGATCAAAACACCTCTACCGATATCACATTTGACAATTATTGAGTCAATATAAAAAAATATTATGATCAGTGAACGACGGAAATAGGCTACTGTAGCTGAAGTTTGAGGCTTAGCTAATATAGCACAGTGGTCTTTTTATAATGATATAAAGGTTTTGAAAAATGTTTAAGAGTCAGTGAGAACGATTTCTTGTAACTGGTTATATTTTTGGGGAAATACGGCGGAAATTGCCTCATGGATAATCAAATATTTACACATTATTTTATGATTGCTATTCTGGGACAGGTTTAGATCCGTTGCTAATTTTGTTCCACTGATTTTCACTTTTTTTAATTTCACACGAAAAGTGAATTAGAATAAAACATATTGTTTAGTTCACTATCCTTGATATAGGTACACATTCACTAAATAGGCGCGGCGTATTCACCATTCTCGCTTTTTCAGACGCAAACCGATATTGAATCACAGGCTTACGAAACTTTGAGCTATAGTGATTCAAGTTTCTATAACTCCATCTTTGAACTTAACTGCCTGCCGACTGCCTGCGGGAGCCAGTCTTAACGGCTTCGCTTCAATCCTCTAAAACTGCCTGGGCCAGTAGCAGGTGCTGAATTTAAAATATTCCAATTGCGCAGGAGACCCTGCTTTAATTATTTTAAACCAGCTCTCACAAAAAGCCCTCCTAAATTGGGGAAAAATGTATAAATTCTACACTTAATTTTGAAACATTACGATACTGGAAGTTATATGACCTTGTTACTGAAGAGTAGCCCGTAGGGGTTTCACATGGGCAAGATTTTATCCACAAACTCAAACCGGCTAATAATCGATCTATGTATCGGCTAATTACCGAATCTATCTTGACTATCTACTGTGGTTAACACACTGGATTGACTTCGTGTTATTATTGGCTTTATATTAGGAATATACAGATAGCTCCTGAATCAGATACATAGTTATTTGGATCAATCTAGGCCAGAATCAGGCGTCCAACAGTACACATGGTACAGCGGTCAACCGTTTCGACCCCTTGCACTCAGTCCACGATTAAGCCCAGTGTGACATGGCCTTTCTAGCCGTCCGTTCACTGTAGTCTTACTTAGTTGAGCAATGATTTCGAAACTATCAAGACAATCACAGTTTTTTTAAGAGTGGATAGAGAGAAAACCAAAAGGCAGACAGTAAATATGTGACCATTAAGTTCACCCAAACCAGTCGAAGGCGACATGGAATTCATCTTAAGATCTTGAAAAATTAAAACAAGGCAAGATAATTAAAACATAATATGACGAGTTTCTTACAAGTAAATGATACAGATATTGTATTGCAGGCAAACAGCTGTGTAAAGGTAAAAAACCGCGAGACTAGATTTGACAAATAGACATCGATCAAAATGATAAATCATGATAAATGAACAAGTCGCCAGCTGTGGCCTGCTGAAACATGAAAGATATTTTACTTATCTTTCGTTTCAGGCTTTAAACATACACAACTCAGATTTGTAACCAAAAATAAGTTTGCTTTGGTGCGCTTGCGTCACCTCCCACTTCGAAAGGAAATAGCCGCCTGTGTAATCACAGCTTTTACACAAAAGCAAATAACTACGCATCGTTCAATTTTTCTTTCTGGTATACTTAAAGACGCAGCACTAGCAGTTCTGTGCTTAAAGGAAGGGGTTTTCTATTCCGACTCAGAAACATGAGCCTTTTTCCTGGTTTATTTTTGACCGCTTCAGCGCTAAAAGCTGTATTTTCAAGCGCGATCTAAAGGAAGTAGGAGTCACTTTAGTGACGTCACAGAGGGATTTCTTTTGGGCTGTTGACATTCAGCATACATTTCCATGCAAGAGATGAATTAAGAACCAGAAATTTCACGATACCTTCCTCTTCCACTCTTCGGGTCTTTACCTTTTCTTTTTTTACCCTCTAGTTTTTAGTCCTTTTATGTTAGTTCAGTTTACCACTAATCATTATCTTTGAAATGGCGGCAAGCTGTAAATACATTTTCGTCTGCATCGCCTTTTCCGGACTGTTGTGGGACTTGGCGACGTGTCGTAGCTCTCGAAAATTATATTCTAATACATGGGTTGTCCAAGTCGACGGGGGCCAAGAAGAAGCAGAGAGAATTGCTGCAGAGAAGGATTTCATACTTTTAGGACAGGTAAAGAAGAAAATTATTGATATCATTCCTTGAGATTTTTATCGCGTATGGAATAACATCCCTCGCTCTACGCGACCGTTCGATCGTTTGCAGGGGCAATTCAACTGATTATTCTCTTATTGTTTCCTGGTAACGGGAGTTTTGCTTGATCTAAAAAGATGTTGTTTACTCTTGAGGTTGGAAGTTTGGAAGGATTTTACATGTTCAAGCATAAGTCACATCCTAGGCGATCGAGACGCGATGCAGTGGATCTAACCTGGGATCTATCCGATCATCCAAATGTGAGTAACCTTTAGCAGCTTATGAAGTTACTGTATTGTGTGTTTCTATACGATGAAAGCTTCCATGAAACGGAATTCATGTGCATTTTAGGTCGTCTGGGTAGACCAACAGATTGTTAAAAGACGCGTAAAGAGAGATTATTCTCCGCATTGGAACGACCCTGACTTTGGGAAGCAGTGGTTTCTTGTAAGTGTGATAATTTAGCATAGCGGCAGTTTATTTAGAGATCCTTACAGCCAAATCGCGAGTTTTAGTCTCGTTATAAATGAAGACATCGACACATTTTTATAATTATTGGTCATGTAATGTCAATGTCGATCGTAATATAACGTTCCTGTGTATTGGTGATTTTCGCCATAGAAGGGTAAATAAACCTTTTAAAAGCACCAGGTGGGCTGAGGTATTGGTTAACTAAAGGTTGCGAGCTTATTGTAAAAACATAGTGTTCATCGTGTTATTAAGAAGCAAACGTTCCGGTATTCCGACATAAATTGTTACATTAGTCAAGTTAGGATCTTTTTAAACATCGTTGTTCTTGGAAGGACTAATTTTTCAATGCTAAGCTGTAAATTAATCATTCATTCAAATAATTATCAGGTGTCGCCTCTCCGTTGCACAATATTTTTTAACGTTGTTATCATTCTTTCGGGCTAGTTTACAATGTATACGTTTTATCAGTGATGATTCCCTGATAAATCGGAAAGAAATTTCGAATCTTTTCAAATCTAAATTGTTTGTTTATTCATTCAGCCGGTTTCATTCATTTTGTATGTTGGAAGTCTCCTGTTGAGGGTGGGGGGAGGAGATGGGAGGTGTGGGGGAGGGGTGTGTGGTGTGGGTCACAGCTATTCGTTTGAGCCTGCAATATACATAGCAAGCAGCATTATTCTTAACAACAGTGTCAAAGTAAGGAATCTAGCCATTTATTCAGTTACATGACAAAACACTGCTCTTTTGAAGTTACAATACTGACATTTTTTATTGATACTCCATATTTGCAGCATAATACAGACAGCATATTCAGAGGTTATGACCACAATGTTCTTCCAGTCTGGGAACAGGGTGTCACTGGAAAGAATGTCGTTGTCTCTATTCTAGATGATGGTAAGTCATAAAAAAGTGAAAACTGGTTCGTTTGCTGCCATTATATTATCAGTGCTTGACTTTCAGAAAAAAATGTTGGGGCCGGCTGACCTCTAAGTTTTCATTTTTGGTCACCAGAAGAAGTATTCTAGTCACCAAAAATTACAATAAACTTAACATCTTTTACTTAGCCTAAACAGAAAAAGAATGCTTTAGACTTCCTTTGAACTTTCTTTCAAATGGTTTTCGAGTGAGGCTCGATTACTAGCCGGTGTTCGGGAAAATGAACCCACACTCAAGTGTAAATCTCCTCAAACAGGTATTCAAGCAATGGAATACTCATTTAGATAAACAAACTTTAGGAATCACAAAAAACTTATTTGGCTTATGAAAGAACTAAATCTGCAAAATTTGTTTTGTGTCCCATGTATTTTCAGGTTCAGAAATGAACATCAGTAAAACTTGATCTATTTCGTGGTTGCCTAGCATGTGATCTAAAGTCTCCAGAAAGAGGAAACGTCGCTAATGTTTTCAGGCAAAGAAGATGATTTCTTGAGAAGTCTGTTAGAAAAACAGCATGAGTTCAATGGTACTTCATTAGAAGCCAATAAAATATGGCAGAGCTCTTATTTGGGTCGTCACACTCGACAGAAATTTTCATAAAGTTGTTTACAAGAAGTTTGAGAAATAAGCCCTGTTCGTTCTCGATTAGCTTGAGCTTTTATCAGACTAATCTGCTATCAAGTCTGCAATAATGGGATACATGTTCGACAAAATATTGTTTCAAATCAATGCTCTAAAAGTCATTCCAGGAGAAACACAGGATGAACTGTTGACCAGACGTGAAAATTTAGTTGCCAGCAAACTTTTGTTTCTCGGTTTGATCTAGTAGTTAGTGACTGCCATAATAATAAGTACATAGTAAAGTGTAACAGCATAAAATAATATAGTAATTTGAAGATCAAGGGCATGATGCTACATGTAAATTGTTTGTTTATTTATTTGTAGGTATTGAATATACACACAATGACTTAAAGGCAAACTATGTAAGTTACTGAATGTAGATGATTTCAAAAAAATTATTTTGCTTCCTCACAAAAATGTCTAAGAGATTAAAGGTGATGTAACATGGGACGATTCACAATGACAATTTTTAGTTGAACACAATGTTGGAACAATGTTGTACCTGTTCGAAACAATAACTGCAATGCTGTGTTGCACTAAGAATCATCATTGCGAATCCTCTCATGTAATGTCACCTTAAAATGGTCCAGCTTGAATGACTTCTCCAGTTGGGCTGGATCATTCCAAACAGTCTTGTACCAAAGTTCCTGAAAAACCGTGGTTGAGTGGATGCCTGCCCTTTTGTCTTCTTCTGGATTGAGGAAGAGAAAAGAAGGCTTTACCTGAATTGTGTCAAATCTATAAAGGCGCCACAACCCAAACTTCTGGACTAGTCAATATTGTACATCCTCATCGCCTCAAACTGCTTTTTTGAGTGCGAGTATCTGGTTATTGATAAACTGATGGTCATAATATTGAGCCTGCTGCACCAAGCACAAGGCTTATAGTCCTGGCCTCGGTTGTTCAAAGGCTAGATAGCACTATCCACCGGATAAATCTCTATCCAGAGGATAGTGCAATTGGTTTCCCTAATACTCATCCACTGGATAGTGATTTATCCTGTGGATAGTGCTATCCAACATTTGAACAACCGGGGCCTGGGTTCAATACTGTGTCCTAGTATCTTGCAGCGCATGTTCAACTCTGCAAAGATCTAACTTGATTTATGCAGAGTCTTTGACAAGTTCACCAAATTGGGCAAGTCAGAGAGATAGACTCAGCTAGCAGCAGGGTGATTCCATATCTATGTTTTCCGTTTTTATGAAAGTACTTTTTTGCTTTCTTTCTTAACTCCTCCACCATCTACAAATTAATTGAAAAGTAATGAGGTATTTACTTTTTAGTAGTTAACAAAACTGCAGTTTTTTTCGCTATATTTTTTTCACTTTCTAGGATCCCAAAGCTAGTTATGACTATAATAGTAATGATGCAGATCCTGCTCCTAGACCAACCTGGAATGATGAAAACAGGTTTGTTTGCCAGTATAAAAGATTAGAAGAGTACATTGTTCTGTTTTTGAAAACAATTAGCGAAAACAAAAACAAATCAAATACTAGACATGCACATGTGCTTGAACTACTTTGGTATGGTTAGTTTAGTTTATACCTTAAATTGACCTCTGGAAAAGATGACGGGGATCCTAATTCTGTCCATTCTGTGTATGACTACGCAGATTTAATAATCATTATGTAATGGATATGTAACTGGTCAAAATCAAATTGAGGTTAAACCTTTTGAAACTTGTTTGATTTTCAATTTCCTTTGTGTCCTAGCCACTTAGGTTAAAAAATTTTGACCTGTAACAGATATTCAGCATAAATTAATGTTTTTGACATGTTGGGTTGTTTTTGCAGGCATGGTACAAGGTGTGCAGGAGAGGTGGCAGCCACAGGAAACAACAGCCTCTGTGGAGTGGGAGTAGCACCTCAGGCTAAAGTTGGAGGTGTGTACGTTATCTGACAACTACACGTAACGACTGACAGTCGATCACACCTCTTGACTATTAAAATTTAATTTAATTTCGTACCTCCACTTGTACTAACAGTCACCTCTCCACAATGGCCACCCCTCTAAAATGGCCCCTTTATTTTGTCCCAGCAGACAGTCCATACATTTACTCTTATTTAAAGCTCTCCTTAATTGCCACCTCTCTACAATGGCAGCAGCCACTAACGCTTGTCCCCAACTGCCAAAATAACTTCTCTCAGTTTTTTCAGTGACTGGTGAAAAAGTCAAGAATGCTCATGAATTTTTTCGTGGCAATTGTATTTTGATGTTGTTTAATTTATTTTGCTGCAGTAAGCATAACTTGTCTATGATACTTCTAGTGAGTGTTACAAACCTTGCGCGTTGTGTCACGTTAACATTTTGATTCAAGACATAATTCAAGCTTTTTGTGTACTTATCTCCGCACATTATATATGATCGGATTAGCATGATTATGGGACACAGTAAGCATGAATTAACTCAGTACAAAAATTCATGTTGTGCTCCCGAAGAAAAAATTGTCATATAACACACCTACCTCTCCACAGGGGCCACATTCTTCTCTCCTCAAGCTGGCCGTTGTGGAGAGGTTCGACTGCAGAAAAGACAATCAAGTCTTCTTACTTTGGGGCTAGATACAATGATACAGTGTACAAGTATCATAACAATGTGTAGGAAAGATCATATCAGTATTAGATTTTAGGAAACTCCCCTCCCACCCCTCCCCTAAACCAACATTTTTAAGAAGTTTGCATGCTAATGTTGTGTTAGGGTATGAGTTGGCAGGCAGTTGCTCAGAGTCTTAACCCTTTCACTGCCAGAGTGTTTGATAGAGTTTTTGTAAGGTGACTCTAACTTTTGAGTCTGGGGACAAAATCCTATGATGTCACCATTCAAATGAAAGCTCTCTGCCTGTACTTTCACATGATGCTATTTATTTCTCAAAATTTTAGACAATGAAATTTGTAAATTTGGTCGAAATTTGCCTTTGGCCACATTTGACAGTGAAAGGGTTAAACATGTACTTATATATCTGAAAGGTCTTTAAAAAGGCTGCATAGAAGGCTCGTATTCACTTGAATTGATAAACTGAGCCCTTACTATGTGTTACCAGTGGAAAGGTGTCCACCATAGTTAGGTAGGATATGCTCAGTCGGTAGAGCAGTTGGCTTCAGAGCAGGAGGTGGTGGGTTTGATTCCTGTGGTGGACTAATACTTGGGGTCTTAAATCACTGAGAAATGAAGGTAGTGCCTTCATCCTGCCAAAGGCTAGACCTTTGCTTAGCTCGGACGGCCACGCAAAAGGGTGTTAGCATTTCCATTAGGAGACATAAAAATGGTGTCCTCGATAGTTAATAATTTTTTAATAAGTGCTAAATTAAATACATTGACTCTCAAAGAAAGTGCTTTTTGTAATTTATAGTAAGTTACGCTGCATATTTTTTCACTTTAAGAAAAGTTTCATCTAGTAAGGTAATTGACTGTCTTTCTTGAGAAGAGAGTAAGTCAGCTATGACCAGCCATCCCTCAAGAGGACGTGTCTTCCTGATAGGGATGAGGCTTTGCAAACTGACCAGAGTTGACCATATTTTATTGTTGTATGTATCTTCAGGTGTACGGATGCTGGATGGTGATGTAACAGATGCGGTAGAGGCGTCTTCATTAAGTCTCAACCCTCAGCACATAGATTTATACAGCTCAAGCTGGGGACCAGATGATGATGGGCGGACTGTGGATGGACCAGCTAAGTTGGCAAAGAAGGCATTTGCTGATGGCGTGCAAATGGTAAATTATAATTTTAGAAATAATATTGTACTGATTGTTAATCAACGGTGCTTCATTTGCTGGAGCATGAAACCAAACAGCTTGTACATGTAAAGGCAATTTACTCCTCCAAATTACCAAACCTGGCAATCAACTGTATTGTGTCGATTGCTAGCAATAAAACACTGTACGTGTTTCTTTATTTGTGGCAAATTGAATGTTACTTAATACCGTAAATCCTCTATTAAGGCAGGGGGCTTATTTATTTCAAACACATTTGAGGAGGGGCTTAATAGAGACAGGGGGCTTACCTTATTATAGAAAACTAACGCTCCATGAAATTAAGGTATTGGAAATTGACGCGAATTTAATGGAAAATGACTTTCGAATAAAGAAAATTAACGCAAAAGAGGAGGTAGAATTTCATTATAAAGGAAATTAACGCGATTAAGACACAGCTGGTGGCCGAAATCAGAGGAGAAGATATTGACATCACTTCTGACAGTGACAGCGATGAAGATGAACTCGAAATATTGTAAACCTTCGCCTTAGCTTTTGTCAAAAATGAAAAGCAAAGGGTAAATAGAAAGAAAGCAAGCTTGTAGTTAATGTCTTTTAGCTTTCAAGAATGTCGGGACAGGTTCCAAAATTGGGGTTAAAATACTGGAAAATAATTAAGGGCACGGAAATTAACGCTCAACAAAATTAACGCGATTAATTTTATGGAGTGTTAATTTCCCATAATAAGGTATTTGACAGGGGGGGTAGGGCTTATTTAATTTGGCAAAGACGGTGGTATCAGTTCTCCATAAAGCACTGGAATAAAAAGTGGAAAAGCTCAAGTACAAGAAGTTGGAGGTCATGCAGCCGAGGATCAAAAACAGATCCGAACTTCCAGTTGGTGAATAAACCATCCCGGATCAGTCTACACGAAGTTTTTGCAGTTGTGATTGATTAATACAGTCTATCATTTATTAGTGAAGAATAATAAAGGGAGGGGAAGGGGGGGACTTAAAACAGAGGGGGGGGGGGGCTTGTTAACTTTCTTCCCCTGAAAGGAGGAGGCTTATTAGAGAGGGGGAGGCTTAATAGAGGTTTTGCAGTATTACATGTACTAGCAATGTTGCTCTTTTCAAGAAAATGAAGTTCAATAATTCAGTACAATTCATGTAATATAATTATATTTTCTCTCTTTATTTAGGGTCGTGGTGGATTAGGCTCTATTTATGTTTGGGCTTCAGGTAATGGTGGTAGAAGCCAGGACAGCTGCAGTTGTGATGGTTACACAAACAGCATTTATACGCTCTCAATCAGCTCAGCAACAGAACATGGCACATCACCGTGGTATTCTGAATACTGTGCATCCACTCTGGCTACCACCTTTAGCAGTGGAAATTTTGACATGAGAAAAATAGTATGTATCTTTTCCATTGTTTGTAGCCAAATACCAGAGAATATGATATCTGGTGTTAATGTTTTTCATAATGAATGACTGGATTATTAAATGGTTTACAAGTGTTTGTTTCTAGTGAAAGTGCACATTTAGCTAGTTTACAGGCACTCCTCTGAGATCCTCTCAAATAATCACACACAATCATAACATAGTTCAACTCCCCTACTATTTGGAGGGAGCTAGTCAGCAATAGATCCAGAGGGGATGAGGGTCTAGAGGTTCCACTCTCCCCCTCCTCCCCCCCCCCCTGCACCTAAATTCATTCATCAGACCAGAAACAGTCATGAAATTTGATAGCTGAGTGCTTTGATCTTGGGTTTATTACCCTTGTTAAGGATAACACATTTACGAGAAATCAATGTGTAATGACCAAAAAGCTAGTAGGGTGGAAATGCTTTGCCGTAAAAGGGTTGTTAAAAACATGTTGAGCTCAAGTTTGGGCCCCTCCAATAAAGAATTTCTGGCTCTCCCCCTGCCAGTTAGCCATTTATAAGCTTGGCTGAGGAGTTAGATGTAGAACTGCTGTAACACAACTCTGACCAATAGTCAGGGCAGAACCTCTTAAACCAGGGCTTGCTGCCTAGACTGCATTTGTGACACAGTGGACGCTTTTACCTTCTTCATGAGTAAGAAAGTTTGCTTTGGCAAGATTAAGGGTATGAGTAATTTGGTTTATCTTCAAAAGGTTACAACAGACCTTCATGGCCGATGTACAGACTCACACACGGGTACATCTGCCTCAGCTCCTCTGGCAGCAGGAATATTGGCACTTGCATTAGAAGTAAAGTGAGTATCTGGGTATAGTTCTTGGCATATTTTTTATTTGTTTGATTAGTGCATTGGGAATCGTAGTATAAGTGTGTTGTTAACTCCAGGTGGTGTTTGCCTAGTGCTGTGTATTGTTTAGCCTGTGTAGCTGGCACTTGGAAGTAGTGGGCGAAAGAGAAACCGGGGTCGCGCGATGGTGACACGCGAGGGGTGTGGCGCGCCCGTTTTTTCTCGTGCCCACTACTTCCAAGCGCCTGCTATGCAGGCTATGTACTGTTTAGCAAGAAATGATGTTTTGAGTGGTGTAGTGATTTTCCTAGTATTAATGTGCGTTGTTTTATTAATCTACGGGGAGGCAGAGACCATTAGGGAGTAATAAAGCAGGCATTACGGTTCATTGTTCCCTCACTTATCATACATTTGCGAGCCATCATATTATTTTACAAACCAAATAAAAAAACATGGCAATTTTCACCTGGTATACCATCCAACACGACAAACATTTTGTATGAAAATAACTTATTTTGCTGCTCTTTGAAGCTCCCAAAGTTTCTCTCGCGGTTGTCGTTGTTAAAACGGACTCCTTTGCAACGTCAGCTATACAAACAATGTCTATTCTCTGCTTAAGGCCATTCAATACCTTTCTTTGATGTTTGGCAGTCATCTTTTCTTCATTCTTTGTTTCTTCTTTTTTGTTGGGGGGGATGATCTCAATTATTTTGGGATACAAGTGGGGGGGGGGGCACCCGTAAAGATTTCTAATGAAGAGGCGGGTCATCATATACTATGGGAGCTACCCATCAAATCCCACAAGCCCCCCTTGCCCAAATGAACGGTCCCTAAATTGGCATTAAATTTTTTTACAGGTATTTCATTTTTTAAAAATGTAAAATACAATAATTTTATTTGGATTCTTCTGGAGGAATTATGACATGCACATATGTTATTTGTTTATAGCCGTAACTTAACCTGGAGGGATATGCAACATTTGGTTGTACGTACCTCCACCACTGAACATCTTCATTCAGACGACTTTATTATGAATGCAGTTGGAAGAAAGATCAGCCACAAGTTTGGTTATGGTTTACTTGATGCACTAGCACTTGTCAATCTGGCAAGAAAATGGAAAACTGTCCCACCACAGCACATTTGCCGCGAGACACCAGAAGCACAACAGAAGTAAGTGTTATTTTAATTAAGAATGTGCCAATTATTATTTCATCAAAATGTTGAGACTCTCTATAGGTTCCCGACGAAAATGAACAGAAGTCGCGTCGATCACTGTTGATGGAACCACAATCTTAGAGATTCAAGCGACGATCGCATTGCGAGATATAGTAGTGAGTTTACACAACAGGACGGCAGGAAGAAGAAGACGGCAGAACGCTCGTGTGTGACAAACGTGACTGGCTAATTCTTACGTGTTTTGTGGTGATCTTTACTTAACATCAATGTTTTTTGGTCTTTTACAAAAAGATCTGTTTAAAGGAAAGTGAATTTTGGCGAAAAGTTATTTCAAACAAAATTATTGTCACGCTTGTCACACAAGGCTTGCCGTCTTCTTTCTTCTCCCGTCCTGTTGCGTAAGTTCACTAATATATCAGAACTATTAAACGTCTCTATTGAAGAGGCAAAAAGATGTACGCAGTTGGCTTCGTTGCATTGATTGACCGAGTAGTTGTCGACAATGTAACTCTGTAGTAACGAGCACTGATTGGAGGATCCAACTGCAACTGGAATTGGATTGCCATTCCTATCAAGTTTGACAACGATAGTCGTGTGATAACTGCAAAGAAATCTGCCAAAAATTGTGCTGCACGTTCAGAGTTTTTTATTATTATTTTCTCGTTTCCGTCGTCCACTTCGTGGTAGCTCAAACTCGCTAGTAGCTCGCAAAACAATTATTCAGATATGAGACGATTTCGTTGAAAAATCGACAATTTGATGGAAAACGTACAACGCAAACGATGTTCTCAGTTACCCATAGAGAGCCGAGGCTCAGTGTTCACTTTGGTACCCATGTTTTGGCTTGAAAGTGTCCTTGAAAAGTCTGATACTGTTCCACAGAATTCACCTGCAGATTTAAGAACAGTAAAAGCCATCCTAAAAGACTGTGTAGTAACCAAGAAGGATTTCATTTTAATAAAAAAACTCAAGCTTTAGAAAAACAGTTGAACCGCGCCCTCCAAAGTGTGAAAACAATCCAAGTTAGCCCTCATGTTGTTGCCGAATCAACAAGCTCTAAACATTTGTGTAAATTTGTTAGGTTACGGTGCTACCATCTTTTTCGTATATTTGTACCTTTTTAGGGCCCCTATTGATACACTGTAAGCAGTTTTTATTTCATTTTACATTGAAAAAATTTGAAAAAAGATATCTTTTAATTTTCAAACATTTGCCTTCCAGACCTATCCCTAGTAAAGGCACTTTGAAGGTGACCGTTACAACAACAGGTTGTGCAGATGACAGCCACCATGTCAAATACCTAGAACATGTGCAGGCCGTCATCACGCTGAGCTTTTCTCGCCGAGGTGACCTCAGCATAAAACTAATATCCCCTCGTGGCACGGTAGCAATTTTACTGGCTCAGCGGAGACAAGACTACTCAAGCAGTGGCTTTACTGACTGGGAGTTCATGTCAACTCACACCTGGGGTGAAGATCCAACGGGAACATGGACCTTGGAAATCGAGAACCATGGTAAAATTTTGGGATCATTATACGTTTCTGGGAAAGTGCCCACCTACCCCTTCCCTTCCCTTCCCTAAGCCAACATTTTGCCCTAAATGAGAAGAAAGTGTTAATGGTGGCTTAGGGGAGGGGTAGGCGGGCAGTTTCCCAGAAACGTATAAGACAAGACTACTCAAGCAGTGGTTTACTGACTGGGAGTTCATGGCAACTCATGTTAACTTGATTCGAGTTCTCTCTATTAATGAGTTGTAGCACCTAAGTGACCTCAAATAAGGCAAAGTTATAAGCAAATGGTTAAAAGCCTGTTAGGCAAAAATAAAGCAGTAACTGAGGCGGACAACTTTCAATTTCGGATATGGCACTCAAGACCCCACCTAATGGTGTTTCAAAACCGTGTTGGAATGTGGAAAGGTTCCATTAAAAGTTTCTAGGTACACGTAGTTCGCGAGACGTTTTCCTGCATTGTATCTGGTACACTTATATATGTTCATATAAATGAAAACGGGACTGGTTTTTTTTACGAATTAAGGCTCTTCAAGTAACAGTGGTGTTCTTAAAAACTGGTACTTGGTAATGTATGGAACTGAAGAACCAGCTGTTTCCAGTGATTCCAGTAAGGAACCAGTTCCTGCCTGTAGCATTGAATGCCAGAATGGCTGTACAGGACCAAGAGCTGACCAGTGCAGGGACTGTAAACACTTTAGAGGTAGTACCAGCAATGTAAGTACACGCTCATTAAAGCTCTGTTGGACGTAAACTGTTTTCACTGAACTTGTAGAAAATTGGTGTCTTTTTATAGTGTAAATGTGGGCTCACAAATGCTTTTTGATTTGCGCACTTCTTAGGGTTAATTATCAGCTGCTGTGCGGTAAATAAATGTGCGCTCCTCCCCCTCAAAAGATGGTTGGACTCGTGTATTTGTTATCGTATATTTCCACCAATCAGCTCGTTGCCTGCCGAAATCGAGTAGGCAGCTTGAATTATTTTTTCTAGTGTAGATTACACCAGCCGATATGAAGGTATCGTATTTTCCAGTGGTTTAAGCTTAAAAACCGGGCAGATTTACAACAAAAAGCCCTGAGAAGCTGGTAAATTGTGAGGATGTCTGCAAGTGACTAGCTTTTAATAGTAATATATATATTTTTTTTCAACTGTAGGAGTGTGTTGCTGATTGCTCCAAGTCAGAGTATCAAGATGTTGCTGGAAAGCTTTGCAAGCCATGCAGTCACACATGTGCAACTTGTCACGGACCCAGCACATCAGACTGTCTCTCTTGTACTCCTCCACTAATCCTGCACAATGGAAGCTGTGTAAACTTTTGTCCTGATGGCACATTCACACATGTGCAAGATTCTGTCTTGATCTGTGCAAAATGTGACTTCACGTGTCTGACATGTGCTGGCAATGCAACTGCCTGCACTTCATGCACATCAGAGTACAAGCATGTCCCTGGTCGATGTGTGAAGAAATGTGGTGAAGGGAAGTATGTCGACGCAGAAGGACTATGCCACTCTTGTCACCCATCTTGCAAAAATTGCAATGAAGGCGGTGCAAGTGCCTGCACAGAATGTGCAGTCAAAGATAACCAGAAGTTATTTCTACACAAGGGTGAATGCAAGGCTTCTTGTCCAAGTGGTTTCTTCGAAGAAGCAGCTAGTCAAGAGTGTAAACCTTGTGATTCAACCTGTGACAGTTGCACTGGTCCGTCCCCATCGCAGTGCATGTCCTGTAGTCAGGGGCTTTTCAGGATAGGAGCTCCAACTGGCTTGTGTAAACCAAACTGTCCAGAGGGTAAGGAGTTTGATGTACTTGAACTTGAAGAGTAGATGTGTTTCATACTGTACTCATTTTTTGTGGCAAGTCGATCAGCATTTTATCCCGTAGGGGTCTCCCAGTCTCTTGTACTTGACTGAAAGCGTTACAAAATGTATCAGTTGCTGGAAAGTTGGGGCTGTGGAAGTGAACACAACACAAGGATTATAGTTAGGTCGAGACTTGCAGATTCTAGATATTTAATCCAGTGAAGAAAAAATGGAACGGATTTCTTTAACACGAAGTGCTTACAAAGCGCACTGTTGACGAATTTTAACCCGGTTCTCTGCACAACTTTGTAATAGCCAATAGAAGAAACAATAGCAACCCAAAAAAGTCTCATAGTGCAATTCGACACAACGCTCACCCAGTCTAACGCTCAGCCTCAAATTAGTCAGGTAACCGTGGTAAACTCATAGACCAGCACTCTGCCAACTGAGCCAACCCTTCCGCAAAACTAGAAAGTGCATCCTCAATCACTGCGTCACTGTTCTCTCTTCAGGCCAGTATCCTGAATCAACTAATGGTACATGCACGCCTTGTCCATCACTATGCAAGAAATGTGACCCTTCGGATCCCAGTAAATGCACCAGTTGTCCTAAAGATGAGTTTCTTTATGCACATGGATGCATACCTGCTGAGCAATGCCCAGGGGGTACGTATGCAAACGGCACAACTGGGAAGTGTGAAACTTGCCCACTGGGATGTTCATCTTGTAGTCAGTCTTCTGACATGAAGTGCCTGGCTTGTTCAGAAGGTTTTGTCTTGTACAAGTCTAAATGTTTGATACGATGCCCTGAGGATACCTTCCGCAAGCATTCCAACAGGTTAGTGCAAGTATTTGTATTCTGTTTGGGGTGAGCAAGTCATCCATACTGGCATCCATAACAAGTTTAAGAATCTTGATAAGCAAAATTTGTACTTAATAATAGGCCTATATTGGTTGATGTACGTTCGGCAGAAGTGCTGCAATAAGCAGCGTGATGTCTTCATGTGCGGTGTTAAAGCGATTTTAGTTGCAAGTTCAAATCTCGCGCGTAAACTAGCGGCGATTTCATGGCGGCTTGTTGTTATTGGCGAATTTCTGCGCGAAAGTTGCCAACAGCCTATCTTTGTCTTGTCGGTTACCTTTTGATTTAAGACCCATACACTACAGTTACCGCTGCGTAAAGATTGGAAAATTACACTAAAACTGCCACGAAATCGCAGCAGAAATGGCGTGAAACTTACCGGTGGACTGAATAAATGACTTTTGAGAGTAGCGAGCCTGTCCCAATTTCCTTTTGATCTATTTATTTTACCATTAACAGTTGCGTGCCCTGTAGCCCATCGTGCCAGACATGCTATGGTGACAGAAGTGACCAATGTCTCTCTTGTACTCTTCCAAAACATCTCATGGGCTCTACATGTGTCTCTGAATGCCCAAAGGGGATGTTCCACAGCCAGGTGTCTCATACTTGTGCAGCTTGTTATGCAACTTGCGAATCATGCAGTGGACCAAACGACAATGACTGTCACTCTTGTAAAGGTACGTAACTATTATTCCTTATTACGGAAGACTGATCTTGATTTTTTCTTCGGTTGCAAATCTCCCATTCGCCACTGAAGAGCTGAGGAGGAAACTGGGCCGAGTTGACTTTTGCAAAGACTTCTGGGACTAATAATAGCTGACTAATACCAATAGCTGACCGGCGCGTCCAACGATCCCAGAAACAATTGCGGGAGATATCTAGGTTCCAGTTCCCCTCTCATTCACGAAGTGGCGAATTGACGTACATGTACTTTGAGTACACTACGAGTGAAAAAGCTAATCATGCGTGGAATAGATATTCTGCAAGTATAGTAGGATTAACCATGTTGTGGATTGCTTGTTCTTTTTAACCCCCTGAGTAATTCTCTCAAGAGTTTCTCGTAAGTTTTAAAAGCAAAATCGTATTTTATTTAGGGAATTGTTCGTGCATCTTTGCCCAGAAGTGTTTTCACAGTTTCATTTTGAATAATTTCCTTTATTGATTCACGTGAACAGTACACTCTGCTAGAAGCTGACCAACCCTCATGAGTCGAATACTTTGTCAATTCCATCATAACAAGAACCTACCGTAAAAGATCTAATAGATGCCCTCTCTCAAATAAACGCCTCTCGTGCAATAACGCTACCACGCTGTCAAGTGTATTGTACACCCCTAGTAAACGCCCCCTGATTAATAGACGCCCCCACTCCCAGACAGATAAAGGCAGAGTTTTCCGTGCTGAATGATTAGCCAACCCTTCCAGATCTCAATTGTACGTAGTAATTCCTTATAGCGAAAGAATAATAAGATTGTTCTTATAAGGTGGATGGGCTACAATTTTTCCACCATTTTAACTTAAACCAAAATATTCATAAGTTAGTCTTTACATACTCGGTACTTACCTGTTGTTCTTCTTTTAGCCGGCTGGTCTCTTGTTGGCGGCAAGTGTCAGTCATCTTGTCCAAGTGGTAATTTCAATGGCAGTGAAGGTTGCCAGGCGTGTAATCCGGTTTGCCTTGAATGCAGTGGTCCATCTCAAGAAAACTGTCTCAGTTGTAGCGACATTAAATTTCTTAACCTGCAGACAAACCAGTGCTCTTATGAATGCCCCGAAGGCTATTTTGGAGATTTGGACACCACCCATTGCAAGCCGTGTCCCGCAGGTTGCAAGGAATGCAAAAATGGTGCAGAATGTTTGTCCTGTGGACCAGGCCTATTGCTTGTTGGTAATTCCTGCCAAACTCAATGTCCCACTGGTCACTTCCACAGCAATGTATCAGACTCTTGTGAACCGTGTGATGGTATGTGCAATGAGTGTGTACGGTCTGCCAGCAACTGTATCAAGTGCCGAGACCATGAGGTGTTGAGTGAAGGGCATTGTGTCAGCGTTTGCCCAGCTGGTTCATTTTTATTGTCAGACAATAATAACTGCATGCCCTGTCATCCGTCCTGTAAAACATGCACAGGGCCTACCGACAATGATTGCACAGGCTGCAATGCTGCTTCTATTTTGACAAACTCAAGATGCCTGGCATCTTGTCCTTCCGACTACTATTTTGATAAAGAAGTGAGTCAATGCCGACCATGCGACTACTACTGTTCATCTTGCCAAGGAGGTAAGCTTGTGATATAATGTAAATTGGATGAATAGGTGTAGTCAGTTGCATCAACGATGTTCTGAATTGGTAGCTTACATCCTTACGTCTAAAACAATGTAGGTATGTTGGGAAAATGGGATACCGTGCCGAATTATAAGTTTAAAAAAATTAATTTAATCCCTTTCATTGTATACAAGTCGTTATATTCAGACACGAAAAGAGCAGCGCGGAAGGATTATTATCGAACAGTTCATATAGATTGAAGAAGCAAAATAGTTTTATTACGTTTTATAGACATAAATAATTGATAAAGGAAAACATTGCCGTGAAGCAGGTCAGTAAGTGGGATTCTGATTTGGATAGCTGGCCAAGTTCCTTTCCCAGCAATCTCCCTTGTTAATTGTGGACATTCCGCCCTCCTCACAAGGAAACAGAGACCAATCCAAACCAAAATAGCTCTTATGAAAGGCTAACGTTAGAATAGAAAATTCTGTTCGGCTACCATATGATGGAACCTTTATTCTGGGAACGCCAGTGGGAACAGGACAAGTGTCCCCCGAAATAGAGGTGTCCCTTCAATAGTGGTAACTAATACAAATGTTGTATAAGCTGTTTGTTATGGGAACAAAGTTTGTGTCCCTTTGATGGAGGTGTCCCCTATAAAGAGTTGCGCAAAAGGACAAGACAATGGGTGTTTCCTCGGAAAAGAAAGGCCCCACTGAGTAGATGCAACCTGTTTGCTTTTCTTTCCAACACTACTGATCAAACCAGTTTGCCTTTCCGAATGTCTTTATCTCTTTCTCCTTTCAGGCAATGGTATCAGAAATTGCACCAAGTGTGTACCTCCGTTTGTGTTACTTAAACACTATTGTATCCGAGAGTGTCCAAAGCATGGGTGGGTATTAGACAAGAATAATCAGAAGTGTATAGAATGCCATGCGTCCTGCTCAAGATGCATTGGACCCACGGAAAATGACTGCATAGCGTGCAGTCGGCATGACATGAGCCTTGTTGGGTTTTCTTGTAAGAAAGAATGCCCTCATGGAACATTTCCTAATCGCTTGACAGGGGTTTGTGAGAGGTGCCATCCAAAGTGTGAAACATGCTCAGGACCTGGCGAAATGCACTGCAAGACATGTGCAAAAGACCTTTTTCATAATAAAAGGAATGGAAGCTGTAGCTCACTTTGTCCACCAGGGCAGTTTTCAGTAGAAGGAAAATGTAGCAGTTGTCATGCAACCTGCAGAACGTGCAATGGTCCAGGTAATTCTGACTGTCTGGACTGCCCTGATGGTCAGCTGCTGCAAAATTTTACTTGTGTCAACAGCTGTCCGGATGGCACATATGTCACTGAAAAGGATGGAATCCATCAATGCCTGCAGTGTCATCCAGTCTGTGACCTTTGCCATGGACCAACAATGAACAGCTGCATCAAATGCAAGAAACCGCTCTACATTGAGGGAAGGTTGTGTGTCACGCAATGTTCACGCAGTCATTCCCTGGATGAGCACACAAGGACTTGTCTTCCTTGTGGAAGTGAGTGCAAGACTAAAGCTGGAGCTCGGAATCGTTCTGTTCATGACCAAGATAATCAAGTCCTGCAATATGTACTTGATGATTCCCACAAGAACAGTTTTTCATTAGTTGCTGTTACAGTTGGGTCTGTTTCAGTAGTTGTTTTTCTTCTTATTTTTGGAATTCTCCAATTCCGAACAAAGAAGATTCTTAGAGGTAGAAGAGGTATCAAGGCAACAATTACGAAAAGTGAGGATGAGGAGGAATGCAGGGCTTCTCTCATAGAAGGTGAAGAAAACAGAGCTTAAAATAGTTGATTTTTGGAGCTGCGGGTTTTTCAGATATTATTGTTATCATTGAATTTTACTTTTATATTATGAATAATATAGGGCATGTGTATTCAATTTTATCGAGATAAGGTTCTTTTTGGAGCCTGATATTTAATAAGTACTTCTATATAGTATTAATACACGTGCAATGTACTTAATCAGGTCGTATCGATCTTGGCGTCGCAAATAACTATATCCTCGAAGTTTACCGTACCTGAAAATTGGAAGTTTGTCATTCAGCCGTAAAGGTCTTCGGTATAAGCTGTCGTAGGTCATTTTTTACCAATGTTACCCGGCGGAAATAACAGTCACGTTGTGTTCACTCCAGGGGAAGCATGGCTGTTACCCTGACTGGGAGTACATTATGCCTTACCATGTGCCTAATGCAACGCATTGCAATAATAACGATAGTAACACGTTTATTCTAACCGGAACTATCACTTTCTCAAGGTTTTCTGGAACTAGCCTTGGCATAAATACGCATATTAAACGCTTAAACGTTGTTTTTCTTGCACAAGAGTACATTTTATGCCTTGCTTACACATTGCTTGAAAAGAGAGACTTCATACTTAATAACAGCAAGTTCAGATATAAATGTTACCTGTACTGAGCGTCTTCTTTAAAAGAAAAGAAATTGCGCATATGTCTCTGAGAGAAATGCGTTTCGTTGAAATGACACTTTTACTCTAAACATGTTTTCATTGAATATGAAAGGCAACTTTATTGTTTCCATTTTGAAGTACAATAACACGTGAACTATCAAGTCATATCTCTACTATACATCTAAATTGTTAATGCGAACACAAAATTTGACTTACCAGTTATATCCTTCAACGTTTGACTGCAGCCCATAATGGTGATAGTATCAAATTTCTCTTTGTAATATCAATGCTTCAAAAAACACTAGTAACAAGAATTAAGAGCGTGATTTGCTTGATATTTTAACAACTTCTCCCCACTACATCTATAAGAAATGTATGGGGGCATTAAGTGAGAATTTAAATTTTGATACAAGGGTTTAAAGCTAAAATCAGAGAAATGCTCCGTGTGTAACTGTTAACGGCTAAATTATGCAGTAAGCTGAACAGTAGCAGCCAAACCAAAAATTGTACATCATAAATATGTTTGTCACTTCACTATGAAGATCAATGAAATGTTACAATACGTGTAAACTCTTTTTTTTGTAAGATCCTTTTTTATGAGAACGTTCAGCCTGAATTTTGCCAAAATATTAAGAATACGCTAAGAACATACCCGACGCTCAGAGAAGAACGATTTATTTTTCACTGCTTTTACTTTCCTAAATCCAGAAAACCTGAATTACGTAATGTCTTACATGGAATCAGAGTGCATGTGCAATTTTGTTCTTTCAACACATGCCGACTGTGTATGGTCTATAATACATCTACATTGTACTTGTACAATTCATTGATGTGAAAACTATAATCATTGTCTTATCTTGTCTACATGTGGCTTAAAAGATAAGAACGACCCGGGCTCAACTCGAAAAATGGACGTTCTTATAAAGAAAGAGTGTACCGAGGTGGAATCCGGTTTCTTTGTAAAGTGTCTGATTATTTTTTGTAATTTATATTTTCAAAAATTAATGTAAAACTATACGCGAAGTACTTCGTAGTTTATTGACTTAATATAGAGCGGGGATCTTTTTAAAATTGATAGGTGACTAAATTGTTTGCTCTGCAACAAACAAGTCGACAATACGTTATTAATTATAAGGTTATAAATTGAATGATTGCAATATTTACGACTGTAATGCAAGTCGTGGAAAATTTTAGAGAAATATGAAAGAGAAATAAAGATATTTTTGTACAGAATTGATTGCTTTATTTACGTGCTGTTTTGCTGTTGATGTTTATGATGTGTTTGTGATGTGTGGTGGATGCTAGAGTGGTGGGACACCTATAGCGGATTTGTATACCGCTATTCACAGTTGTGCAACATAAGGGATCTATACAGCGCAGCTATGGATGACTTTACTATCATACATAGCCTGGGACCAGGCTCCGCAATGGGGAAAAGCAAAAAACGGATTGAAACAGCAGAAAAAGGGGGTGTAAAATTTGATGTGGTTGTAATATTGATAGACTAAAATCAATATGAAACTTTAATCAATAAAATCTCAGCAGCTGCCTTTATCAGTGCCCACTTTACAATTCATCACTATTTCATTTTTTTTTCACAAAAATGCAACAGCATCCTGTCTAGTTTACAGTTGCTTTGCTAAATCTCTTAGTAAGTAACAGCATGTCAAAGATGGCAACCCTCAAAATATTCTTTGGCACTTTAGGATGGTCAATAAAATTGGGCAAAACACTGGGTCACAGCAGAAAGGGTGTCAAAGCGTCGCGTATGACTTCAAACCCTTGTTGCGTGACACTACGGTAACCAACCTCGTCCCCAGGGCTTTTCCCTACCCATTTTTTAAGGGAAAAGCCCTGGGGACGAGGTTGTACGGTAACACGACTCACCTTCTAGTATATATCTACACTGTTTTCAAAATATTACGATGCAATTGGAATTAGTGAGAAGACGACAAGGTAATGTTTCATGATTGTGAGTGCCAAGTACCGTGTAGAGGTCTTGGAAAATCTACTCTTTGAAAGAGAATTTATTGCATGCAGTTTCTCATATATTCAGTTTATTTTATCAAATATATTTAGTTTTATGATATGGGTAGTTTTGTTGTCACTTTCAAAAGTTCTTCGTATATTCTGAGTTGCCTAGTCCCTGTACGTCGTTTTCCCGCGCCATCTTGGTCAATTCAATTCGGTGACGTATCCGAGGCAAACGGGTGGGAAACGCCTCACTTCTTCGCTCGGACCACGTGGGCCGAAACGCATTGGCCGCGCGGAATAATGAGGCCTAGGGACTAGGCAATATTCTGAGTAGCATAGTACGTAAAGCCAACACTAGAGATCAGAACATGTGTCAATCCTGGTCGCTTTTAAAAGGTTAGAAAAATCTAAAATAAGAAAATCGTCATCTTAAATAGTGCACGCGGTCGCTTACGAGAGACGGTTTTTTTACGAGAGGTTCCAACCAAAGGGCATTGACTGGAGGTTTTGGATCTGCGGTCGCTTGTGGGAGGAGGTCGATTACGAGAGGTGGTAGCATGCGTGGCAAACGTTCGAAACGGAAGGGACAGGGAATTAGGGAGCGAGACCACGCGCTCTCGCGCTCCCAAATTCTCTTTCCCCTTTTAACGCCTGCCACGCAGGCTAGAGAGGTGGCCGCACATGGATATTTAATTGTATTTTTCGACTTGCGGAAATCACGCAATGCAGCATTGGTATAATCGCCGAGCAAGAATTACTTTCGCGAACATGGCAGATGTTTCTATCGCCAGTTTGAAGAGTTGCAAAAAAAAATCCATCACGAAGTCGCCCGTAGTTGGCTTTGGTGATTTGAAATTGCACCTAACATTGTTGCGAAAATAGTACAAAAAATCGCCTGTGTAAATGGGCCTTTACTTGCCAGACCAATAAAACATCCAAACCGAATGCATGTTCACGAATAATTATTTTACAATGGCTTATTATCATGGCTAATTGTAAATCCACATTCAGTAGAAACTTTCATCGTCTTCGGAGTAGTGAATAAGTTCTTTATCAACCTGCAGGTTTGATAACAGTTGTCCCATGGTGGGCTGAGGATCCATGTGTATTTTGCCCAACAGCCTTTCAGCGGCTTCTTGACTCACTGTCCGCCACTTGTCTATAAGAGATTGAAGCTGGGTCAGGTCATTCTACAAAATCAAAAAAGAAAAAAAACAGAAACATTACAAGTTAAAACTTTTATACTCGAATACTTAACAGATGCTGGCAATATCCTCTCTTGCTTGTAAGCAATTACACAAATACCCTGATTGCCTGAGACCTTTCTTGCGAGGTTTCCGGTTTTTGTCTAGCACTAATTGTGACCCGTGCTGGTGGCTTCGGCCTTCGGCCTACCCCAAAGATTCCCGACGCATTCCACAGAAAACCTATGGTGCCTCGGTGTCACACAACATTAAGCAGCCATTTGAGAAATCCAGTAATATCCTTATTTGAAAAGCTGTGAACATGGAGAGCCTCCGTTGCATTTCACGTCCTATTTTCCGTTGGGCTCACAATTACTAGGATTGTTTTACACATGCGTCCTTCAGTTATTTTTCTACTTTTTTATTCAGGTTCTGATTTTCTCTTGTTTGTGTTCCATGTTGGAGAACATCATGCCCAAAAACGAGTGTATCAGTTGCATGACGAGGAAAAAAACCGTTTTCACGTGGGCCACTTTTATAGTCTACCGCTAGAACGTTTTGTGACGAGCCAAGGAACGGCTGCGTAGAACATTAGTCTCCGTTCTTTGACGTATCTTTGCGCCTTACTATCACTACATATCAATGAGGAGGGATACAGGGATCAAAATATCTTATTTCCCGTCCCTTTTTTCTTGGCTTCCTTCCTTTAGCCCCTTGTTGCAGTATTAAATTAGCCCCTTTGTAGCAGTATTAAATTTCCCCCTATTACTCGCGCTTCCCACCCTTTAAGAATTCTCAGATCCCACCCTTTCCTCTTCCGCGTCCCGTACCCCTCCTGCCCCCTACTTTCCCGGGCTTCCAGCCCCCTGTCAACCCCCACATTTCATCCAAACGAAGTGCAGAAAAAAAGACTAAAAAAGGCGCACAAGAGCCATAGGCTCAAACGGCCGGAGCTTCTTCCGGTTTCCTTAACATGAAGCAAGCCTAGGAGTATTGCTGCTCCCCTGGACGGGATGCTAGTCAATCGCAGGGTTACCCCCAAATAGTATGTCACCGGTACCCATATATACACTTGGGTGAAAAGAGACAAAGTGGAGTAAAGTTTCTTGTGCCAAAAAAACGCAGAGGGCAAGGCTTGAACCCCGGACCTCTTGATCGTAGCCTGCGAAAACATCCGTTTCTCCTCGCTCTTCGTCGCTGGGGACGTTTCGCGCGACGAAGAGCGAGGAGAAACGGATGTTTTCGCAGGCCATCCAGATCGGAGTACGAGGTGTTAACCGCTCGACCACAAACGCCTCCTCATAAAAAGAAAAAGTATCAATGGCAAGTTTGTCCAAGAGATTACCTTATTCCTGTACATCTTGACAAGTTTTAGTTTTCTCAAAGATTCCTCCTTTGTTTGGATGATTTTTATTAACTCTCTTTTTCTTGCAAGTAACTCAAGTGAATCTTCATTTTGATCGCCTTTCTTAGAACACAAGTCCATTGGTGCCTTTAACAAAGTGTTTCCATAATCTTGCTTGCTTCTTTTAGGTGTATTATAAATTTCCTGCAAAGCAACGACATTTTAAGATTATAATTTTAAGTTATTTAGGTTTAAGATTGTGCATGCTACGTTTCCATTTTGTTGAGGGCAGGATGCTTATAAATTTGACACCTTAAAAAAGAGTTGCTTAATGGAGGTTCTGTTTTCAATGATTTACTGATAACTTTTGAGTTTTGACTGTAACTAAACTATATATTTCTAAACACTACGACATCCCCAGTGTTGACAAAAGGTTCCAAAACTAAGGCAATTTTTTCCAAGCACAACAAAAGTGTTCTATAGAGTTTTGTGCCTTGTCAAAATCTTGGGTCTGAGATGTAAAATAAGACATCTAATTTGAGTGTTTCACTGTGGTTTATAATCATCTGAAGGTAACGAAATTAGTGTCTCTCTTGCTGCATGTTTACACTATAAAATTAATAATATTATTGAGTTCAAGAAGTGATCGTTATCCAGTGAAACAGTTTCAGATATGATAATCCCAGCTGTGCTCTAGCTGTGCTCAGTTGCCCTTAGCAACTAACAGTTGTGTCTTTAAGTGACTAGGAAATCCTAGTTTTTCCACGAAAGGTGTGGGCTCCCTTCAAAATTTCATTAGAGCCCAACCTTATTGTACTTAATAATTTAATGTTGCAACCCTTCACATGAGGCGCACAAAAGCCCATCAAGGTGCAGTACATTTTTCCGCTTGCTATTGGCATTATCAATATTAATAATAAATTATTACAGTCAACTCTCTCTTAATGGACACCTCTATAAGATGGACACCTCTGTAAACTGGACACTTAGAGTTGGTCCCTGCCTTTCTTTACTCCCTTTATTTGACTCTCTATAAGACGGACACTTAGTGCCAGTCCCAAAGGTGTCCATCTTAGAGAGAGTTGACTGTATTCTACCTTGCTACTCCCCTCATCGGGACGTTTCATCACAGGTGACACAAATGGAGTTGATGGCCTTCGCAGTCCACATGACCTTCTACCAAGAGCTGATATACTCTGTGTTTTGAAAAACACAACAGGCATGATTTCTGTTATTGATACCTACCATCTTGCTTACATGTAGCAGTAAGATGAAAGTAGTGTCTTATAGTCTCTCAGAGGGCAAATCTGAGCTGATGAATGGTAATTGCAAGTTCTTGCAGTTGAGTCTGTTTATTCTAGACAACAGACAGTGACGAACCTAAAATGCCAGAAAACGATGGCAAAATACAAGTGAAGGTGATCGTTGGGTCATTTTTAGGATGTAATAATGACTAAAGATATCCACGTTTATAAGCAATTATAATGATGTGAAACTTGACCAAACTGGATCTACACATGTTCTTGAACAAAAATAATTTTACTTGCCCTCCTGTGCACCTGTAAATGAAACACTCTGTTTCATCCACAGATTTCAAAGTTATTAGACATGTTAACTTATATGATGTCTGATATGAAGACAGCAAAATATTTATGAGTGAAATCAGGACAAGTAACCACAAACCTAGCTATAATCCTAAAACCTTCAGCAGGGGGTTCATTACGCATCGGAGATTGGAGAATTCTCCATCTATTATGCCATATTCTCTGGCTAACATTCAGTAGCCTACATGTGTATGACAAATTTTTTATTCAGAGGTGGAGCCTCTTTCAAAAAGGTTGAAGTTCTTGGTACATTTTTTCGTCAACCAACATAAGGAGTTGAAGATTAAGTTGTTTCTCAACCAGAAATACCATTATTATCAGTACCTTAGGAGTTGTAGAAGCTGTGGTCTCTGTAGTTGTGGGTGTCTTTGGTTGAAGCATAGTATCTAGATACACAACTTTTCTTTTAATTTTTCTGCAATCCGAAAAGAACATTCTGTTATTAATGACTTTTTTACACTATTATTCACAAGGCTGTTGCATGAAAATAAGTGACCAGTATACATTATCATGTACACTGTGACAGAAAACTTACACTTGTCCTTTTTTCTTATGGCTGGGGTATTCTAATCATTTTGAAGCTATTAGAATGTCCTGTTGTCACATTTTTATGGTTTTAATTAACTCATAACATTTCTCACACCTTATTTCATTCATGTCATCCAATTCTGTCTGTAATCATAATTCTGATTAAACATATTGGACTCCATCAGTTCTGTGACATGGCTGCCCGATTATGTTTAACCAACACAATGTACTACTGCAGAACAAATTAGACTCGCTAGTCTGTCCTGTGACTATTACTTACACATCATATTGTCCATATATAATCCAAGTAGATGATCAATAAATAATCAATTGGCCAAAGGATAAAGATTGTTTGGGGCGTTTCTTGTATTTGAAAAAATCGGCAGATCAGATGTGAAAGTTCCCTTTCCATAGTCAAAGATAATGATTGAAAATAATCTCTCAGTTTATGTTTATAACTAGAAGGAGTAAGTGAATTACGAAGTGAGAGAGGAATGTCATTCCAAATTTGAGGACCCTGTACCCGAAGAGAAAAAGTAAGTTGTAAGTTGTCTTTTTGCCTGGTGAGATATTGATGACAATCAGAGTTGAGAACGCAAAGAGATGAAAGAGGAGAGGGCAAGAGGACCTGGTTTGAGATCTTGCTTAAAAATAAGCTTATAAACGGGATGCTAACTTTTCAATATTGAAACCTAATTTTGTGATCACCTCTTCTCTTCCTACCTTGATCAGGTTTTCTGGATTTTTTGCAAATCCTCCGCGAAAACATCCGTATCCGCCAACTTATCCGCCATGTTAAATTTGCGCGCCAACAAATCAGCGGTCACGCAAACGACGCAAGAGCAAGCGCACATCTCATCCAGTTTCCAGTCTATCTGCGAGTACTGCAAAAGAGGAAGTGTGTTGCGGTGGACGGAAAAACGTAGGAAATGTTATCGGACAGAGAAAAAGAAGGGTGCAAAACCATCTTGAACAAACTTCCTCAAAAGGACTTGCTAACTCTAACAGATACAGTGACGAACCGAGTAGTAACTCCTGAAAATACCCAAGGTATTTAATTATTAAAAAGTCATCCATGGCTTGCAAACAGAGGAATGAACTGCCACAGCTTGCGCTAATAATTTGTACAAGCTGTGGCAGTACTTCTGTACAACAGTTATTATCATTCGATGCAAATGTTTCTTCCTTTTCATTGGCCGAGAGCCCACCATGTGACCTGCAAATAACTGCCTGCAAGTAATGGTGTGCTCATGCGTTCAACTGTTTTTGGCTGCAAATACTATTCTGCTCATGCGTAAATGAAACCACGCTTTTCTCCTTCTTGCGATGGCTCTTGCAAGAAAATGGCAGATTGCTTCACTTCCCGAAGATATTCCTTAAAAAACAAACTCGGTGATCGAATGATAAAACAATTATTGAACTTGGTTATTGCAAAATATCATGATTTGTCAGTGTCTCGCAGATCAATTATTTGCCTCAGCCTTCAGCTTCGGCAAATAATTGGTCTGCTCGCCACTGACAAATCATGATATTTTGCTCAACCTCGTCCAATAATTGCTAATTGTTGTACAAGTTACTAATGGCCAGCTTAGTGCAGTTTTTCTTACCACAGGATTCAGTGTATGTGTTTCAAGGGGCATACACAGAATCCTGTGATGGGAAAAGCTGCACTAAGCTTGTGAAAAAAAAACAAAATTCCTTTGTGAAACTTTGTAGGTTGATAATAGTAATTGTGTGCTTCCATGATGCCATGCCTTTGATGCTGCTGTTCCATGATACCAAATTCTGGTATCATGCTCTGATTGGTCAAAGGTCTTCTTTTTGACAGAATCGCGGTGCTGTTGACAGTATCGTGTTCTTTCAATCACAGGTAGCCCAAGCTCTCTAAGAGAGCCCTGAGCAACATTATCCATTAGCTAATTACTTATTTATACGGCAACAATTATAAGGCGTTGTATGAGAATTATCCTATTTCTACGGAGGCCCAGAAGGGTCTCACATGCAAATTAAAAATGTTGCTTCAAATTAAAAATTTTACCCGCAAATTAAAAATGTTGCTGCAAATTAAAAATAGGACATGCAAATTAAAAATTGCACGTGCAAACTAAAAATATTACAAACATGAAACATGAATGGGTCAACGGCTGTAAGGCCAGGTCCCACAGCTCGGACCAGGTCCTCATCACTCATACTGCGCGCGCAGGACTTCTTATTTTTAATTTGCATCGATATGTTTTCTATTTTCAGTTTGCAGCACAATTTTTAGGTTACTTGTACTATATTTAATTTGCAGGTAATATTTTTAGTTTGCATGTACAATTTTTAATTTGTATGTACTATTTTTAATTTTCAGCAACATTTTTAATTTGCACGTGTGACCCTTCTGGGCCAACGTATATTTCTCCATAATTGAGAAAACATGCTTTAAAGTTTTCCTTTTAAGCTTTCATTTAGGATTTTATTATGTTTACTTGCGTGTTGACTGTGTTTCAGGCCTCTTAGCATGCCGAGAACAACACTACCCCTTTAGGCTAATTAATTATTCAAACAGCAAGAAAATTATAAGACGTTGTATGAGAAATTTTCTTTGCTGACTAAATTAATAAAATGTGCATTGAATAGCGCTTTGAAGCTTACCTTTAGCCTTTTCTTGTTTTTCTTTGCGTTCTGACTGCATTTCAGACCTCGTAAGCACTGTTTAATAACTCTTTTTGAGCGACAGTTTTTCATCCAGGCAACAGTAGAGAGAAGAAAAGAGAAGGTTCACTTCATTGGTGATTTAGGACCTTCGAAATGGGAATTTTGGCGTTATTTATCAGGACATCTTTTTCTGGCGGAATTGTCTCCATGTCGCAAATGTCGCGGAATTTATCGCCACCGAGAGCTGAGCCAGTCAAGAGAGGTTTGCCAACCTTCTCTTCTCTTCTCTCTACTGTCATCCGGGTGAAAAACTGTCACTCAAAAAGAGGTATTAAACAGTGCCTAGGAGGTCTGAAATGCAGTCAGAACGCGAAGAAAAACAAGAAAAGTCTCTTGTGTGGCTTTTACTAGTTTTAGCGTTTACAAAGTCTACCTCGCTTGTCAGTCGCATAGTTAACAAACCAAATACACAACTGACAAGCAATGCTAATGACTTCGTAAACGCTAAAAACCATGCACGCAAGAGAGAAACCTCTGCTCACAGGCTGGTTCAAAGATAACAGCAGTTGAGGAAAATCAGGGAAAATGATTATTACTAATTCTTACACGATTTTGAGGAGACACAAATTCAACAGGAATACACTCAGACTGAATAGTCTGTCACATAAGGTGCTTAACTTACGCATTTCATTTCTCCTCCATGGAATATAAACTCTACAATAGCAATGCTATATGTATGTCAACAAGCATTATAATGGAAACTGCAAACTTGAGGGATTTCCTTGAGAATCTATTTGACTGTTCTTCCCTGGTCTCACATTGCACATTTTCCTCCAAAACATCTTTATTTCTCTTCACCGAAGCTGCTGTTACTTCAGTTGGCAATCAAAGTCAAGTAGATCTCTTTGCTTGCACTAGTACTTCATTTTGAATTCAAATATTTTTTTACAAAAGTGACACAATAAGCTCACTCTGACATCCATGATGAGAACTTGATGTGTTGACATTTCAATGACAAGTTAATTACTGGAGGGTGGATCAGCAGCATCAAAGGCATGTCTCCAGGCTCGGCCACCCTTCCCTCTCCCCAGACTACCTCTCAGCTCGCTTCGCTCCCCAATTTTTTTTTTTTCGCCAATGCTGATTTTTGCTCCTTTTTCCCACAATGTGGAGCCTGGTCCCAGGCTAATATGGCAAGGCGGGTTTACACTCTACAATTTGTCTGTTTGAAGAAAGAGCAAATTTACAGAACACTACAACTTAATTATTGAGCCAATCTCTTTAGCTAAAGAAATTTGCTGGGAATAAATTTGGCTTAAAATGGAGCCAAGTCATAAAACATCAGTTTACACAAAACGGTATGGTTCACGAATCAAGAAGCACAAGAGTGCCTTGGTTTTGAAAATGCATGCATATAGGTTATAATTTACATAGTATTTAGGGCTATTTGGAAGTTCTACTTCTTGTGTTTTATAATTAATTTTTATATCCTTGATAAAAGACAAAGTTTGGCAAATTATCTGTACTATTGTAGCTTTTGTCATTTCCCACCATTCATGTACTTTTTTGAAACACTTGACAGAGGCAGTGGATGCCATAATAACATACAGTCATACTGCAGGTCAATTACTGAGAAGGAAAAAGGTCAAACGTGAACACATTTACCAATACCTTGCTGAAAATGGTGTCGTTGAACCTGGTTCATCAGACAAGCCAACTCTGATAAGAAGATTGCTTCTGTATTGGGGCAGTTCACAAGAGGTACACTGTAGGCTAAACTTGACACTACAACCCTGGAGACAGGGTTGTAGTGTCAAGACAGTCCCATCTAATTTGTAACTTTTGTGCCATACTACCATCTCCTCCAAACAGAAAAAGTAAACCCCCTCCCCGCCCTCTATTCAAAGTTGTTTTTGTGTAAAAACCACCATGTGTAATTATCGTGTTATCATAAACAACATTGGATAAAGCCAGGAGGGGGAAAAATAAGCATTTATCCAGTGATGGTTTCCATTTTGGCAAGGATAATGAGAAAAAACAGGTGTCTCAACAGGTTTTGTCAGAGGTCGTAGCTTGGGCTATATCATGCTATTTGTTATCTTTTTGAAAAGCTAAAATGTGTCTTCGCATCATTATTGAATTCCAAAAGTAATAGGTCCAGTTTTATTATTTAAGACTATATTTTGGCATTGAAACTATTAATGGATGCTTTCGTTGGCTAGGATAGACATGGATTGAAACGTGAAAACGTTGAGGCAATTTTTTCAAGTTTTAATGCCATGCCTGCAAAAGTTGCCCAAAAAATATTATGGTTAGTGGTCCCTGATGAAGCTCGTGTGATATCTCTTTAATAACTCGCCAGGGGTGTGTGTGGGTAAATGAAATAATTAATTACTTCAGCACAGAATTGACCTAAAACAGCAATATCCCAGCCCCTCTAAATAGTGAAAATTCCTTCAAGTGGCCCTTGATGATGTTTATAAAATTGATAAAGTATATAAAGATTGAGAGATAGCACATCAACGGAGAGATTCTTGGTCTAGCATTCCTGGTCCAATTGGGAGTCGAAATATTGGGTTTTGAGGCGAGGGGAAAACCGGAGTGCCCAAAGAAAACCACTCAGGGCAAAGGGTAGAACCAACTACAAACTCAACTTACATATGGTGTCAACACTCGGATTTGAACCCAGGCCACATTGGTAGGAGGCAAGTGCTTTCACCATTGCACCACCCTTGCTCCTCTTCACAAACGACTGACACTTTTATCCCCTCTCTTCTTTAATGAAGCTTCCCCGTTCAGATGTTCGCACCGTCGATCGGTGCTTGCGGTGTGGTAACAGTAAGTGAAAAATGAAATGATGTAATCTGCATAACAAAAAAATGATGGTCAGTTCAGCTAGGATGAGTAAGACAATATTGCTGTGTACCGAACACATTGTTCACACGATATCCAGATATCTGATGATCTCAGAAGGGAGCATTTCTCATAAATAAATGAAAATGAAACTGGAAAACAGAAACTATGAAAATAAAATGGTTTATAAAATGGTTTAACCGATGAGTAAACCTATTGGCCCATTCATCTTATGGACAAGTAAAGAATATTTTCCAATTTCTTCCTTTCAGGACAGTGACAACGAAAATGAGAACGAAAGTGAAAAATTGGCGGATAATGCAGAAGAACTTAGAACAACATCGTCAAATCCTTCAGGGACAGTCTCTTGTAATTCCTCTTTTGATACTAATGTTAATGGCCAACAGTTGGCAGAATATTTTATACCCTGGTTCTACAAAATCCTGAACTCTTTTAATACTTCAACGGATGAAGCGTCTCGAGAATGGGGTCCGCAGCATTTTTGGGCAGATGCTCGAGGTTCTGTTCTCATGGTGTCGGATGGACAAGTGCATGACGAATGTCAAGGAGCGTTAGCAGTCAGTGAAAAGTTCCGTGAACTGGTCTGCAAAGAAAAACTACTCTTTAATGCCAATGTTGGTGGGGCAAAGGGTCAGATAGATGCTTATGGACTTGTAAAAATCTCAGTTGGAGGGACCGTGCATAGATTTTCCAGTTGCCTGGGCATTTTCGAACAATCATTTGGACTCATTCGAGACCCTCAAATGCAGAATAACTGGAAAATAAAGTTTACTGATTTGAAGTTAAAGGCGCATGGCGTGGAGGGTGAAAGTAGAAAGGCGATTACATAAAACTGTAAAATAAGGCCTTGATGATTGAAAGCAAACACTCTGGAAGGCTGTGGGTATACCTCGTTTAGAAAGTATCGTCAGCATTTTGCTGGAACTGGTATACAATTTCAAATATCCAACGAACAGTTGTTGATTAACATGGACAATAGTCGCTAGTTGTGCGGACTCATCCCCCCCTCCTCCTTCCCCCACCCCGTACACTGCAGGGGTTTAAAGCCTTAGAACTATACTCCAGGTGAACTTTAAAATTGTATAATTATTGCGCGTCCGAATTTTCGGCGTTAAATTCACATGGAGAAAAAACTGTATGAAAGAAGTCGAATTACTTTAAGTGGTTCTGTTATAAAAGTTATAACAGTGAAACTCTTAAAAACCTCTACATTACCATTTCCCCTTATTAAAGTCTCATTTAACTATAAATAATTACTCCAAATGTTTCAAGGTTGTACCAAAATGGTGTTAGAGAATGTTGTTATAATGGGATGCTGCAATAAAAAACTGTGCAGCCGATCTGAGTATTTGGCGGGGGGAGACGCAAAAAAGGGAAACAGCAAAGGGAGAGACCACGAGGGTCTGGGCAGAGTCTGTTTAAACCACGCTATTCGCTATCTCAGATTTTACAGAGCTGAATGTTTCTTCGCATCAATTGAATTTAAAAAAAATTGGTCCATTTTTTTTTTTTTTGCCCACTATATTAAGCCAACGAAACGGTTTCCTGTCGTCTCTTGTCACTGACGGAAAGAGCTAGACATGGATTGAAACATATATTGTTCAAGTTAGCTCTAATAGCTACCAAAAAAAATCACCAAAAAATATAATGGTTATTGCTCCCTGGTGAAATTTGTTTGATATCCTTCATAATTTTCAAAGCAGCAATTTGTGTATGGACAAGAGCCATTTATGGCTCTTTGTATGGGTAAAGGTATGTAATGACTTGGCAGAGAATTGACTTACAACAGCAATTTCCTCTCGTGTCATAGCCCTTAAAAACTCGTGGTTGTGTGCCAAGATCTTTGTCTTGGTTGACATCTCTGAGTCCTTGAGCAGGGTCATTTTAGGCGACAGCCTTGCCTCGTACATTTTCTATAACGTGGAAGGCGGGGGAGTAGGCGAGGTTATCACTCACAAGTCATTCAAGCTCCAGAGGCAAATAGATAGCGTTACGCAGGGTTCGCGGAGCAAGGATGAGAGTGGAAGAGGGTTGGGGAAAGGGGTGGGTACTGAACTGTGGTTACTGCAAGGGTTTGGGGTGTTCCGGTGTTCTGGATTTTCAAATATGCTGTCATCGTCAGGTTCTTTCATTACTAAGCTGATTAACATGTTTCATGTTTCCGTTTTTTGTTCTCGAAAATGATAATAAAACCATTTCAAATATCGATGGCAATATAAAGCAGCGTCGATAGCGGGAAGCAAAAAGAGCGGTGACTGCTTTTCTTGCTTCTCTCAACAATACTTTTTCTCCGAACTTCAGGAAACCGATCGTTAGGAGAAACGTTTGTCCAAAAGTAAATTAATTCTGAATAGAAACAGAAGTCGTAATCTCCATTATTTCACAGTGGAAAATCTAACCGTTCTTTCACCTCTCGAAGACTTTGAAACCAGGCGACCCGCACGCTGGGGGTAAGAAAGTCTCAAAGAAAAGGATTAAACTCACAAAGAAAACCGCGCAAAGTTTACAGAGAGCTCAGCATGTAAAGGAAAAATCTGGAACTTCATTTGTTTCTTTTTTTTTTGAGTTAAGAATCTGACGATTAAAAATAAACGCGGTAAAACATTACCCCCCCGCCCCGCCCGACTTTTTACCCACCCCAAGCCCCACAGGTTCAGTTCCAATGCATAGTTTGTTTTTGTGTCACTGCGTGAAGAGACAAAACGGGCTGCCAGCGAGGGAGACTGAGCATGCTGTTGTCTTGCGGTCGATCGGAAAGGAGATGTGAGAAGGATACGTGCGCTTCACGTTCAAGCGCCCCGATTTCCCGCCAAAACCCACAATCGTGTAATGTTCCCTTGGCAGAAATGTCTAGTCTTTTCTTGCCTTGACCTTTTGTTTACAATTAGCAGTCTGTAATTTCTCAACAGTTTGCCCATACCCGAAGAAATAGTATCGAAAACTCACGGACGTGCTTCGGCTCTCGGCCAAAGGAGGATATTGTCAAGACTCGGAAAGTTTTCTCCACTTTCCGTTGAAGGCCAGTTAAGGTTGCCCAGACTCGCAACAATATCTCTGTGGGAAAAATCAATAATTAATTACATAGAGTTGGATATAACTTCCTGAAAATATATCGAAATGATATGGGAAACAATCTTATAGAACCGCTGCCTTATTAAAACAAATAGCAAAAAAAAAAGTATTTTGCATTTGGCAGGCTTTACTAAAAAAGAAAACCAAACTGTGCCTGAGAGAATTTTTATGTGTTGAGGGTTTCTGGATTATTGTTTGCATGCATGAAAACATTACTCTGGCATTACTCTGTTAAACGTGATATAAGCCGAGTGACAAGGTCAAAGTTATATTGGCTTGTTATTGTATCGTCACTGCTATACATAGTCCCTTTTGCACTGAAGCACTCAGAATTTTACGACATAACTCATTTCTTGTTATTTTTTAATTCCTTATTTAGGCCCAGGACATAAGTTGTTCGCTCTTGATGTATTTTCAGAACAATCGATCATCGCACACGCTGCCTACACTTAGAATTCTTTTACAATTATGATACCCCTGCAGTAGAAGTGAGACTGGGGGAAAGTGGTTTCACTGAATATTTCAGCGTAAGATTTAATGAGGTTCAAATATCGTATTTATTCTAGCAAACCAGAAGAAACACCCCGGCTTTTATCAAATTTTTAGCCTTTTCAATGCGTCCTTTATTTAAGTCATTCAAGGGCGGCGTTCATTTTAAAATCACATTCTTAACACACTGACAACAACTACGAGAAATCATTTGTAGAACAGAAAGTTCTTAAAAAGACTTGAAGGGGCTGTGTCGAGGTTGTCTAGGTCATTGGGTTAATATTGCCTATAATTTTTTTTTTTCGCTAAGGAACTTGACTTTAGCGAGAAAATAATTGGTAAATGACAAAATAACATCTTCGTGTCAAGCAAAAATCTCTCCCAAAACACTATATCAAACATTACGAACAACAATTGGAAAATATATTTTGAACCGGTTTGTCCATTCGTGCCTTTTTTCGCATTTGCTGTGTTATTTATAACTTCTTTTAATGTTTTTAGCCGTTTTTTTTTATGTTTACTGTTTGAGTTTTGATCAATTTCGTGACACAGCTCGTTTAAAGCTCCATTGTCACGTCTTTTTTGGCCGAGAGTAGAACCAGGATTGTGTAGATTACAAAGTTCTTCTGAGTTTTTCTTGATCCTCAAATAAACGCTACAATCTTTTGATTGGGGCGGCGTTTATTGGTAATTTTGCTTCCATATACGGCGATCCAGATCGATTTTAAAAATACCGTAAATGGTACCAGTTCCCTGCAGCGAGAAATGTAGCCTCCTACGCAGGGATTTTTAGGGGAGGGATGAATCAAAGGCTCCTAGGAGCGAGCCCATGGATGAATTGAAGTAGTGTAGAAAAAACATTCCATTTTGAAATTCAGGTGTTTGAAACTGCCTGGACACTGTAACAGATTAACTTTTCTCCTTAGTTTTCTTATATTTCAGGACTTTCTCGGTGTGTTGATATATTTGATAGATCATGTTTACATTAATCTTTGGCATGTGTTTTTTTGGCATACAGTAATTAGCATTTGGCTTTTTGGCATCTGCTTTTTGGCATACATTGTTAAGCATTTCGTCAGCATTTCTTCGGTAACTTTTTGGCATCTCTATAGCACTCACGCTTTCCACCAGCGACTAGCAAGCTCCCTTGCCCGAAGCTGTACGTGCTCTGACCTTTTAAGTGCTTTTAAAAAAATGTTTCCATATGCTGTTCACAAAGAGTGCGTAAGGGTTAGTATATGTACTACGAGCTATTAAGTACAAAATGCAGGCGTTTATGGCTAAATTAATCTGCTTTAGAACGCGCTTCTGCTAATATAAACACTAGCTAAAAGTTATTTTAATAAACGGACTAAGCTCGAAGCTGTGTGTTGTTTGCTGTGCTCTGACCTGTAGACTGTAGCTAAGTAATTAAGACGCAGTCGAAGTATGCGATTGCCCTATATGTACCTGAATATTCTAGAAACTTGTTTATTCCGGCGCAGCATTTCCCGTAGAAATTACATCAGTAGGACTGATAAATGGAATCAGCGACAAAGAAAAGCCTATTGGACAAATATCAGTTAATTACAGAAGTCAAGCAAAATCGTCCAAATAATAATAAACCGCAATAGATACTTCTCAACCTCGCTTTAACAATTCAAAGACCATTTTTTGTGGCACCTAACGCTCTTTGGCTTATTTGATTTTCGCTGAATGAAATCCCCTCGTCAGGCTGCGATAGCTCTTTCACACTCCTGTCGATCGCATCTTCTCCAGGTAAAGTAATATTGGGAACAAATGTGCAAAATTCGTCCAAATATACAACAATGATGCATACTCAATTATTTCAATGTCCTTTTAACAATTCCAAGTCCATTTCTTGCAGATGATATTGTCAGTGTTCTTTAGAATACTTCCATTTATACAAAACCCATCTTCGGCTGGCTACTCTATGATGTGTCGGAAAAAATGTAGGCCTTACTAGCACCCTTTAGAATATGCGCACAAGGCACTTGGAACAAACGTAATACTAAGAAAGGGGGGTAAGAGTACAGTGTTTAATCTGCCTCTAATGAATAAATTAATGAGAATCGAGTGAGTGAGTGAGTGAGTGAGTGAGTGAGTGATCGAGTGCCATTCGAGTGCCTCCAAAAGCCCATGGCATGACTACGTCATCCATGAGCTAAAAACGAGCTCCCCTACATGAACTCCTGCGTGGAAGGCTACGAGAAATGGAGCGAGGGCAGCTTAAGGGGCTTCGAAAGCAAAGGAAAGCTTAATGAGACCGCAACTAGGATGTGCCCTTCGGATGCAATAACAAAATACCGATAGGTTGGCGAGAGAAACACTTCCCTTCTGTGTATAAGAGTGAGGTGTAAACTAGATCAAGTTTATTTTGTTTGTTTGTTTGTTTGTGTGTCAATTACAGTGCGACTACTCGAACTGGGGCAATTAGAAGAAGATTATCCGATCACAACGTTTTTTTGAAAACAGAAGATTCTCAAGCTTTTTTTCAAACGGACCAACAAAAATTCAAGATTCTAGAGAAGCCTTTGTTTTCGAAAAACGTAATTGCATAATCTTCTTCCAAGTGTCCCGGTTCGAGTAGTCGCACTGTAATATCCACAGCATGAGCCCCTGGAACTTCCACTCATTTCTTACCTAGACATTTGACAGCCTTTTCCAGGCGATAGTTGAGTACCAACCTCATGCCCTGGGTCTTCTCGTTTTCCGATATGGTGAGAGAAGACCCTGGGGACGAGGTTGATGGAGTGCGGACGAAAATTTGACGAGGGAAACTTTAACGAGTGGAGACCAGCGCGAAAAAGGAGAGTCTCCCCTCGTTTTTTCCTCTCGTTTTCTTTTTCCACTTGCCGAGTGCAATTTAACTGGTTTTGAAACAGTCGAGGTCACTCAGTTTGTTTGAGTTTTCCACAACCCCATCCAAATATTGTACAGCATATGATACAATATACCCACCCCCGAGACACACACGTCCCTGTCGCCCTTCTGGGTATGGTTTTGGAACCATTTCAGGTTTAAAATTTAATTTCGATTTTGCCGTAAAGACCTCGCACGGAAAAAATAATCATTTTGCTCTATACGCGCTTAAATAGTCTCCCTCGCCGGGACAAAACCGGTTGCGAGGGAGACTGGCCTCCTAATAAATTCTTAACGAATACGAAGAGGCTGCTAACGTGCTTCCAAGACCTCTTGCATAAACTGATCAGCATCTATCCTAAGCGGAGTGAGTGTTGTTATGAGATGATGCCTATTAAGATTAACATCAGCCTTAACTAGAATGGACCTAAATCATGATTCATGTGAGAGACACGTTCAGGTTTTATTTTATATTTATTTATTTTCATTGAGTCTCTTATGGGCAGGGCATGGGGCCGCACGTACCCTCTGCGTGCTTTCGGTCAAAGTTTAACATTTCACTCGGCAAACTAGCAACAAAATTCTCCACTGCAACAATTTTTTGGTAACTGATTGAACTCCATCACCGCTGACCCCTGAACGCCATGTACTAGGCCTAGGTACAAAAATCCAGACTTTTAAGGAGTCAAATGGAATTTTTAGTAAAAATTAGGATTCTAGGAAAATTTTTAGACATTTTAGGATTTTTAGACGATAATGTTAAGAAAAATACAGTTGTCATGTTTATGGCCTCGCTCGGTTATGCCACATGAAATGTCAAACTCTACTAAGTGCTTCTTGTCGTTATCGTTTGTTTGAAAGAAAAATTATATGTAAACGAGACGAACCACTTACATTGTCTAGTAAATAAATGTGATTATTGAAAAAAATTGGGATAAAACGGGATTTTTAGAACAAATTTCGAGGTTTTTTAGAGATAAAATTGGGATTTATAGACATTTTTTGGAGAATTTCCAGATAGATTTTTGGGGTATTTTCGGGCGATGTATTCCGGGGGGTACTCCGGATTTCAAGTGACGGAGATGTTCGAATGGGGGCAAAAATCAAAACCCCAAAAAATCCGTGGACCAATAATTAACCCCAAGCAAATCCCTTGCCGAATTTCCGAGCCTCAAAAACCGTAGCCGAAAAACAAGCAAGTTTGGTTAAGTTTTACTCGTAGAATGGCTGCGACCGCGGCTGAGATACTCGTGGGCACTACCACGAATCCTCAGATTGTTTTGAATGTCCTCAAAAAATCGTTACTTAAATCCGCCCACACAAAAAATTTCTTGCCAAATTTTCCTACCCCAGAAAATCCCAGAATCGAAAATTTCAAACCCAAAAATAACCGGATAATCCCACCCCCCCCGGCCAAGTTAAGGAACACATCCTGTTTTATTATTACTATTATTATTATTATTATTATTATTATTATTATTATTATTTTCTCCTCTACGAATGTTGAAACATGCGAGGTATATATTTAAGAGCCAACGATTAAATTCGAATATTAAACGATATCAGGTGGTATTTTAGTTCTCGTCATAAAGTATAGAAGGATATTATTGAAACTTTTCACAACACGCGTTTAATCGGATACCGGCAATTGCTACGTTTCAGTTTGATGCTTTTTGAAGGATAAGACCTAAAAAGAAAGCTGATCATGATTCAATCAAAATTAATTTACACCCAAATTGGGAAAAAAAACGTGGAGTGGGAAATGGGCGGTTGCTTTTGTGGGAGAGGGCCCCGAAAGACTTCCATACTCCACAGTGAGACGTGCCAGGGATGCTAAACGGACAATTCATAAAAAAAAACCCTAATCTGGGCATGGCTAGAATGGCGTTTCTGTTTTCTTTTTGTGCTTTCCGTCTTGAAAACCGCCTGCCCTGCAGTGCAACCAAAATCTGCAATTCCTACTCCCTAAACGAAGACCGTCACTTCCGAAAGGAGTCCGATTCGGGAGGAGTGAACTAATCTTGCATTGCTTTGTATGCATTAGTCACGTGGAATTATGAAAATAGTGTCGTTTCTTTTAATCGGGAAGTCGTGTTGTGTCCTATTTATTTGCTACCACAAATGTGGCCAGCCCAAAACAGTGATGATACGAAAGTGTGTGACCCGTCAGCAAACTCTTCAGGTTTGTTTATCAACTTCGTACAAAGGAACCAATCAGGGGCTGGTCCAAAAATAACTCCGGTCGCCTATAAAATTAAACGCAGGAAAACAATTCATGCAAATGAAACGAACGCTTACGCTGCGCATTGACAGGGAGCATTCGGGAACGAAGAGATCAGAGCCGGTACTCATAAATCATACTGGAGCTGTTATATAGTGCAGAGAATGCATCCAACGACTGCCTCGTTTCTTGGTGGTCTTCGCATTTATAAAATTGTGTTACTCGGCGAAGGAGGAGTTGGCAAATCAGGTGAGTACGAACTAACGATACGAGCTCAGTCTGGCGTAAAGATCTCACGTCCCTTGACCAAAGGAATTTGCGAGCAAACATTCAAAATTGATCGCTAATCACTGAACAAAAACCATTTCCTGGATACTCTCTTTTGTAAAGGAAAAATTATGGAGATATCAGCTCCGGAGAACTGTAAATCCGATTAGGAGACGTTTTTGTTATGAAATATCGCTATGCGCCATCGCCGCCGAAATCGATCGATCGACCATGAACTGTTTGTTTGCACTTTTACAGCGGTTTCATCCTTTGGTTAATTATAAAATGCTTGGAATACCACCAGTGTGTTTGTCTTCAGTAAAGGGTGTACATTTCGCAAATTTGCCAACTTTATTGTTTATTTTGTCCGGAATTCTAACTTTTCTGGCATGTGATCAGAGGGAAATGTAACAAGTAGCGGCTTGAAACAATGATTTTAGTAATTTGTCTGTTCCACTCTATTCTCTTGCCCCGGGAAAATTTCTAAATGCTACTTTTCTTAGATAAGCAAACGACTTTTTTCTAGAAAATCTCGCAAGGGCAAGAAAACTTATCAACTCGAACATATTGTTGTACATACCATTTGCAAGTTGTTGTGAACTGGTGTTGTTTTGATAGTGAGAATGATAATAACATACTTATGTTCCGATGTTGTTGATTTCATTGAAGTGTGACGTTCGTTTTTGAGCAAACCGTGAAGAGCTTACTATATTTGACCAATTGTGTCGAGATAATTTAAGACTGCACCGTTTTTTGCTTTAAATTCTTGTGATCTATCACTAAAAAATAATTATTTCAAGTTTTTTTGAAACGTCATCTTAGTGAAGAGAGGTGCTCGCGCGCGAAACGCGAGGTCGCGTGCGTTTTGGTGCTAAGGAGTGTCTTAAGAGAAAATGTAACAGAGTTCCAGATTTATTTCAGCCTGTTGAAATGAGTCTAACGAATGATAACTTTTAAGAATTTAGAACTGAGGGAAGATGTATCCTGCCAGGATGCAAAAACAAGGACTTCCCTTCTCCCTAGTCAGCTGAACTCAAAACTTCCTTGTTTTGTGCATATGGTTAGGAGCTACATCCAAGCAGATGTCTTCATGCATTATTTTAAATTAATTTGACAAGTGCATAGTAAACAAAGCCAACTTTCATAAAAATTTAATAGCTGTGGTTACAGTATTGGTCTTACTCTTGGGTAAATGGTTCTGTCTGTCTTTAAGGGAAATGGAATGCTACAGTTTCTGGTGAAGGGAAACAGAGTCTTGGCCTTAATAAGCCCTAAGAGTGATTAGTATCAAAATTCTCCTTGTGATATCAATGCTTTATAAAACAGATTGGTGATGAGAATTAAACGGACATAATCACGCGAGATACAATGAGTTAATACTTCAACAACTTCTCGCTACTACTTTTATAGGAGATGTATAGGGGCAGCAAATGGGAATTTGAATTTTAATATTAGGGCTTAAAGGGTTAAAGGTCTCATTATAAATAGTAGTTTTGCACTTTAATTATGAGAAGTGACAGAGAGATGTAGAGGTGGAAAACACGAAAGCCTAGTTACTGACAAAAAGCAAAATCATGTTGTTCTTCCTGTTATTAATTACCAGACATCAAAATCATTTTGATAATCCCCTTGATGCATCCAAAGCCCAGCTCAAAGTAAAATTAATTATTTTCCTTTTTCTTTTTTCTTTCTCCTCATTTTTATTATTACTGACAGTTTTGTTGTTGTTGTTGTTGTGCATGTTTTTTTGTTACGTATTGCCTTTGTGGTGAGCAAGATGTAAAAACAAACTTATCTAATAGAAATCGGTTTTCTTTTGTTACTTCACGAGTTACTGTAGAGCCTGTAGAATTATGACTTTTTATCCTTAGTGATTGTGTTGTGTTAAACCTGTATAAAAATACCAACATTCAATCTCTGATATGCTAAATCCATCAAGGACACTATAAGGGATCATATACAAAGTATGTACTTGAAATCCAAGATGGTGTCTGGTGACATATTTTCTTTGTGGAACATGTGCTGACTGTCTGATATAAACACAGGTGTTGATAAACCCTTCACTGCCACAGATGAATCTTAATTCCACATTTTTAATATGAATCAGGTCTTCAAGTAGGTTGACATGAAGAATTAGTCACTAATTTGGCTACTTATGTTTTAAGGATTTGAGCTGCGGATTTGAGGTCCCCAGCAATGCCTTACCCCTTGACCTTCGTGGTCTTTTTATTCAAATGAAAATATGACTTATCAGATGTAATCTGCTTTATTTTTCAGCTGTAACAATGCAATTTGTGTCCCATTGTTTTTTGGATTACCATGATCCTACTATAGGTGAGACGATAACCAAACGGGGATTTTTTTTATTGATTTATATCGCTATTTTACAGTGTTCTCCTTAAATTTTAGCTCGGTAGGTACAGGATCATTCGCAGCCGTATAGCAACCCTAAATTTTAGCTCGGTAGGTAAGGGATCATTCGCAGCCGGTAAGGCAAAAAATGTGCACCACAGAGGTGCACGTTTCTGGGGGAAGGTGGGCAGTGGAGTGCGGGACATGGCTCCGCCCTTGCTGGGAAATTTGGGAGCTATAAGTTCTCTGAAACATCATTCCCTCATTTTAAGACCTTTTATGCAACTCGGCTGTTCTCACCTTAAAACAACAATTTAAAACAATTGATTCCAATAATTTTACTCTGTCTTCAATGTTGTTTCCAAAATGCATGGCCCATATAGAAAGAAAAGCTGTGTATACATACTTTAGCACTTTTCCACATATTCATTCATTTTCTTGTGGCATGTGAGAATCAGATTGGATCACAACTTGTGTATTTTTTTAAAGTACTTCTTTAATTTTAGTAAACCTTCTGTATGTTGCAGGTGGTAAGAAGTGTTGCTTCAGGTGGTAAATTTTACCGGTTACTGCCTGATAGGGAGAACACTGTATTTAATTAATTATTGTACTACACATTGTAACATTAATTTGTTCTGAGCCGTCAAAGTTTAATTGCTCATTTCTTCTTTAGGTTTTCTTGTGAATTATTTATGTGATTTTTACTTTGTTAACTAATTCAATTAAAAATATCTTATAATTTATGATAAGTATTTTTCATCTTGTTGTTAGAGGATGCATATCAACGTCAAGCTGTTATTGATGGTGAATCAGGGCTGCTGGACATTTTGGATACCGCTGGACAAGTAAGCTAAAGCGCTTGTTCAAGTTTCCTGCTTTTGTTTTATTTTTAAGAGTATACACAAATAAAATGGCACCTTCTGCCATTGTAAGTAACTTTTATTAGATATGATTATTATTGGTTTGATTTTCTGGGAGTTGGGCGTACTTTCTTTAGATGTTTTGAATTTTTTATGATAACTATTTTTTAATAATCTTTTTATGTAAGTTGTGGCAATTGTAACATTGGTGGCATGGATGGTGCTATTCACAGCTTCAAAAGATGCAATTGTACCAAAAAGAAATTTGTTCGCTCATGGGAAAAAACAAAGTTGATTTTCTGTTCTTTTAATTGCAGCAAGAGTTTACAGCTATGAGAGAACAGTACATGCGAAGTGGTGAGGGATTTATCATAATGTACTCCGTAACAGATAGACAAAGTTTTAGAGAGGCTTCACAAGCCAAAAAACAAATTGAGCGTGTGCGACGATGTGATGACATACCTATGGTTCTTGTTGCGAACAAAATTGATTTGGAAAGTAAACGAGAAGTCACAACGGAAGAAGGGCAAGCACTCGCTCAGGAGTTTGACTGTGCATTTTTTGAAACATCTGCTGCCTTACGGCATTTTGTGGACGATGTTTTTCACAGTTTAGTACGACAGATAAGGAGAAAGGAAAGGCTTGGGACAAAGTCAGCTCAAAAGGACAAAAAACACCGCAAGAGAGCAGGAACTATTCTGCAAAACCTATTCAGGCGCCAAAAGAAAACAGCGTAAGAATAATATGAAAATTGTGCTTCAAAACTGTAAAACTGTTCATACTTACCCGGACCATAATCAAATCAACACAAATTTTTCCATCTTTGGAGTGGAAAGTGACACAAAAGAGTGAAACAACATACACATCACGGCTTAGAAGCTGTTCGTCTAAATTTGGTGTTGTAGAATATTTTTTCCCTTGTTTTGTTATCCTTAAACTATCTTGGGTACTGTATTCCCTTATTTGCATGTTTCTGGGAAGGAAATTAGGCGACTGGACTAATTTGAGAGATTTAGAGTTACGTTTATGGGAAACATGAATTTGTTGTGGACACATGACCAAGTTTTCCCTATACTTGTCTTTAACTGTTCTTTACTTCTACAAAAAATAAAAGTAATTTCACATTATTGCCATCCACAAGAATATATTATTTTAGACTGTTTTTATCTGTTCATTTTCTATTTTGAGAAATTTTCAACATGAATCTCTTATTTGGCATTTGCCACAATCATAGCTCTAAATCTCTCCAATATTAGGAAAATCCAACTAGTGGTCTATTATCAATGCAGCATTCTGATTGGCTGAGCTACTAGGCTATATCATCTGTTATAGCCCAATAGTAGCGAAAATCGCCTGCTTTTTGATGGCCAAAAAGAAAAGGATTTAAAGTCTAGCTTGAACTAGCTAAAGTTGTTTTGTGTCGATATTTTTGACCAACTATTTGGATTTTACTAGAACAATTATTCCTCTTGCCCTCATGACCTCTGAGTCAATAGCCCATTCAGGCTTGAGGAATAATTGTTAATTATCTTTAATGTGAGAACTATGCATATTATCATGACTGTTTAAAACTAAAAATATTCAGAAAATTTTTTTTAAAACCTAATACTACCCTTAACGCCATAAAAAAGTTAATATGCATCTGCAAGTGCCCCTGCATTTTGTTCTTGCAATATTTGCTAACTAATTGGGTCAGTGTTGACAAAGTACATACTGAGACCATGCAATTTAAAAGTATTTGCATATGATCCATAGTACATATGGACCAACAACCCTCCAAGTTAAAGGGTTTGCTCAGTTGCCATTTGGGAACCAACTTTTTTGTTTTAGGGAGACTTTTTTAGCAAATCAAGTGGGTAGCTCCAAAATTTTAGGTGCCATGGCAACCAAAATGGTAGCAACTTGGAGGGTTGACCAAGCATGTAGTCAAGATGGCAATGGCTTAAAATGTACCAGAAGGTCAACAAAAATGAAAAAAGAACAAGGCCAATATCCAGCCAACTTGACAGAGCTGCGTCAATGAAGGATCTATTATACAGCCAATAAAATAGAACAAGATGGGGCTATCTTGCCCACTCATGTAGCCAATCAGAAAACAGGATTAGCTTCATCTTGCATGCCTTTGGATTCTGCCATATACCAATACCAAAAACAAAGCTAGGGAGTTAATTATTGCTTTGAATCAAAGCAGGTCAATGTCATTATTTCTGCACAGAAATGGAGAGTGACCTGCCACAGATAGCAAGGAATTTATGGTGTGTCCATATAATAGAAGTATATTGTTCCAAAATCATATTTTACAGTGTAATTAATTTTAGATTTAACTCAGAAAAAAAAATCAACAAAGTTTCATACGGGGAGGCTCCACCCTGAGGTTCAACTCCTTACCCTTTTATATACCATTTTTGACAGGTACCTCTTTTGGATATGTTACAGGTTAAATTTTTTTAACCTCAGTTGATTCTCAATTTTCCTTGTTTCCTAGCCCTAATTATTCATGAATTAGGGCCAGGAGACAAAGGAAATTGAGAATCACTTAGGTTAAAAAGGTTTAACCTGAAATCAAATTTGACCTGTAGCATATACATCCTATTGACAAGTGGTAACCGTAGCTTAGAATGCTGCATGCCTGTAAATGCACAGTCTTTTAAAAAACCAGAATGTTTTCTCAACTTTGTCACAGCCATTAAATGTTAGCCGTTTGGGACTTTTTCAGACTGAAATGACAGATTTCCCCACTCTTTCATATACTCCAACCAGTGATTTCTCTACCCTTTCATATACCTGAAGCGTGAATATAAGGTACCTAATCGGGCTGAGCCTCTCTATAAAGGCCATTATAGGAAGTACCCCCCGGCCCAAGATCACTTTTTATGAATTATAAGAGACGTAGGCGACGTGAAGGGAGAATTTGTACATCAATATCAAGGGTTAAAAGTCTTGAATGCTTAAGGCAGTGAACTTTAGGTGCTGAAACAATAGGGAAGAACAAAGATTATCTTAGATTTTAGGCTAGGTTATATGATATTGTATATTTTACAATTTGATGAGATGAAAAAGGATCACCCTAATATTAGCGATAGGAAATTTTATAGAATTTATTTACTTTATCATTATAATCTGACGCGTAGGAAAAACTTCACAATTTCAGTTTTATGTTGCTTGAAAGTTAAATATTTGTGGGCCCAAAATTAATTAAGTATTGGCAAATAACTGCATATATTTTTCCTCATTATTTATGGCTGAAAAAGATATGGTGTATTCAAATGTAGTTGGACTGAGGATTTCTTAGAATAAAGTAAATGTAAATTGCTCTCTGTTGCACAAAAGTTTTTTAAAGTACAAGTTAATGAGGTAAATAATTTTCTTGTAAAGTATAGCCTGAAACAACAGTCAACATTTCACAACGTCATCACTGGTTTATAATAACAATAATATAATAAGAACTTTATTGGATAACACAATTACTGGAAATTCGGTATTGTTTATGAATGTGTTCGTTATTTCAATTCCAAATGAAGAAGAACGAATGTGTTTTTATTATATAAACACCAATGAAATAACAGGTGAGCTTTCTTGCGAAAACAAGATATCTTCACACGTGAATTATCACCGTTGCTATGGCTACATAATAAATTGCGCCTTTCAGAGCAAAGAACCTGTGAAATGGTTTGGTATTTCATTGATGTTTACATAATAAATAGAACATTCGGCGCTCACTGTTGAAATATTTTTCAACACTCGAAGAGAAATTTCGTATCTCCGCGTGGCCATGTTACATCCTCTATATATGCTAATGGCTTTTAGCAGATGCCCATCATCCTGACTTTAGGGAAATCTTGCTGGCGTTCTAATCTCAGCAAGGATAACATAATTTCTGTCTTTGCAAACATGTATGTTGCGTTTTGTAACCACCTCCAGGTCTGAAAACAGGAATGGGTTTCAGCAGCCAGGGGTCCTTTTCTCGGAAGTCCCGCTAACTTTTCGGGCCCGAAATCAAACATTCAAATCGAAATACATAGAAAAAGAGCACGGGTCCTGGATAGCAAACTACTCCATTTTGTTTCATTAACTGATAGTTTTATGTTGTTAAATGCAAAACTATTGAAACCTCGATCTTTAATGTAAACGGAGACAGCTTACCGGGCCGGTTAATTACTGAGACTTTCGCGAAACGGGCCCCAGGTCTGAAAACGGGTGTGGGAAGTGACATCTTTTGGTCTGAAATACGGTCAGTCAATTCGGAGAACCGGGCGGCACACCCCCACCAAGAATTCCCAGTAGTACCCTCCAGTAGGAAGCATAGGATTTTATGTTGTGCTCCTGTTTCGTGTGACGCAACGTTAAGTTTTGCTAGAAACGTTGACAGCTGAAAATATAATTATCCGCAATTTGCTATGCAAAATCTCGAAAAATTCAGTCTCAGCTGTGAGAAATGGGTAAGGCAGCCAATAATATCTAAAAATAATTTTCAGTTCAGGCCCCAGTTGTTCAAAAGGTAGATAACGCTATCCACCGGATAAATCTCTATCCACTGGATAGCGCATTTGGTTTCACTAACACTTATATCGATCCGTTGGATGGGGATTTATCCGGTGGATAGCGCTATCCAACTTTTGAACAACTGGGGCCAGATGGCAGATGCCCTGAAAGCGATGACGATTGGAGCTGCCAAATAAGTTGTTTTTCTCCGTTTTTTTCACTTTTCCAGGCCATTTCAACTCTAACAAGACAGATTTTTTTTCTTTCCCAATTTTATTTACATATAGATGTAGGCTTTAAAGGAAGCAATTTCATTTTTATACTGGTTTAGCCATAGATAAAATCTACTGTTAAGACAACACAACTGAAATGTTTGTCAGCTGTAAGACAAAATGCTTTAAGTGAATACAATCGTGGAGGCAAACGACCGCGGACCCCAGAAGTCAAGTGAGAAACTGCGACATTCCTCTCTGTGAACAATGCAACTTTCTATCGCTTTTATCATAGTATACTTCTCCTGCTCTTTTGCTAGCGCTGGTCCGATTGTAGCAAAGCTAATGTTATTCCACGCTCCTGCAAGTAAAGCTACCGTGTTTTCGCTGCCGAGTGTCTTGACTGTCTCAAAGGAATCAACGATTGACAAACGTTCAGTAGACAGCCACAAGGTACCCAAAAAGATCTGCTTGCCGGGAATGTGGACCTGCTTACCGGAGAAGTTTTCAGAAAATACAATGAAGAAAACCAGCCCCAAGTGATGATGGTCCGCCTAAGAAGCAGTGAAGATGATACTATTAAAGCGGCCCAGATATGAAAACTTGACCGTAGTCATTGTTGTAAAATTAAATGAAGATGGCAATTTTCGTCTTTGGTGTTACGGAGGCTAAGAATACCCAGGATGGATGAAGATGTGTTACATTAAAATCGCGTTTATAGAACAACAGGGAACTGCACAGACTTTCTAGAAGCAAACCCGCACCAATCGCCATAAGTATCGCCAATGTCCTAAATTTGCATTGCTTGAATCGTTGCTTTGAGACCTATGAAAAACATAACATGGCTATTTGGGTGTTTCTTGGTGTAGCGGAAGTCAAGCATTGCTGGTTCGCTTGTAGGATGTTGTGGTGGCGTTACGTCTTCAAGGTGGTTGATGCAACTAGAAGCATCACCAACAAACTACCAGCATTTTTTTGGAATCTTTAATTTTAAGAGCAGTTCAAATATTTAACGGACATTTTCTTACTTTACATTTAATTTCCAATAAAATCATTTTCTAAAAAAACACAGGTTTGAAAGAAGTGTAAAAGACAAGTTAACGCACGTTCATGGGCAGGATAGCTTGAGGAAACAGCCGAAATCTCACGACACCTTCACTGATTTCCCCGTGAAATGCATGACGTATGATAGAACGAGCTCCGAATTTCCATATTGATGACGTACACTTTCCAGATCTGGGTAGTACTTCTTCTTCCCTCGCGACACGACCAATCAGAAGCACTACCCCGATCTGGGTAGTGATACGTCATCAGTTTGGAATTTCTGCGCTCGTTCCCCTGAAGTAATTTCGCAGGAAAACCATTGGTGGCGCCGTGAAATGTTGGCTTTCTTAGGCTTTCGCAGGAGTTGATGCCATTTTGTGACTTTGGACCTTCATTTGAGTATTACTGTACGTAATCTAGCACTTGTTAATTTACCTCATTTACAGCAACTTCCAAAGAAACAAACCTTTTGATGTGACTCAGGTTGAGTGGTTGGCTGGTTCTTGGCATCTGAGATAAAATCACTGCATGCCCGTGGTGAGGATAAGATTCTTCCCATTGTTTGCCTGTATGATGCTCTCTTAAACGGCGCTCACCTTAAAAGCATCATTTAACTTGTAAGGAAAAGTAACTCACCTACAATAATGGGTTGCTCCGTTCAGAACTAATCTAAACCCATGCACAATCCAAACTCTTCCCCTTCCCCCCTTTAAAGTTGGGGTGTTTATTGTTTCCTACCGGTCAGACTCAAACAGCGGCACAACATTGAATGGAGGGGATGTGGGAGGAAAAGCTTCATTTTGATTCGAAGTCGACAACACGTCAAAAAGGCCCTTTAGGGAAAAGTGTCAAAAGAGTCTCGAAGACGTATGTTACTAGACGACGTATGTTACTAGATGCTAACTGTGATAAGCGGTGGAGCAGGGGGAACAGGCAGCGTTTGTTTCGAAACCGACCGTTTCAGTGACAAAATACTGTAAATCGTTTTTTTAATACTATTTACTTTAAAGGTTCTAATGTTTCTCTTATTTTGCCGAGAAAGAATCGTATTTGTCTGGATGGTGTAGATTTTGTCATTGTTCTCGAATAGACGCCGCATTAATTAGGTGCGGCGTTTATTCGAGGGCGGAGTTTATTGATAATTTTGCTTCCACCTGCGGCGTTTAATCGAGGGCGGCTTTTATTCGAGGGCGGTGTTTAATCGAATAAAAACGGTATGCAATTTTTATCTTTTCATGACCCTTGGTTCTTGGTTGGCCTTTTATGGATTCATTTTTCGAATCGATAGGTGCACATCCTCGGAGACCCAGGGGCAGATAAAGGGGGCGAGGGAAAGTCTAAACGGGCGGAAAATATATATGGAACAAAGAAAAGTAAAGAACGGCGAGAAGAGCCCCTGGGGACAATGTCTTACCAGACCAGTTCCAAACGATCGCCGCCGCTCTGGCTTCTGATTGGTGCCAGAAAAAAACAAGTTTTCTGTCACCAATCAGAAGCCAGAACTGCGGCGACCGTTTGGAACTGGTCTGGTAAGACATTGTCCCCAGGGGCTCTTCTCGCCGTTCTTTACTTTTCTTCGCGCCACATTTTTCCGCCCGTTTAGACTTTCCCTCGTCCCCACTATCTGCCCCTGGGTCTCCGAGGATGATAGGTGCATTAAGCGCCCTCGCTATAAAATGGTCAGCAGGGATGTTTTCGAATTCATGGAGCGGTCGCATGGCAAGGCGGGGAATTTCAGAAAGATTTTTGAGCTTTAAAGATGTTCAACCTCCAAAGGAAAAGAAATATGACTTGTTACACGGCTGTAAGGGGGTATAATCAATTGCTTGCAAATGTAACGAAAGCTACAACTCTGGCTGCATTCGGGAATTAACGATTGGTGAGTTCTCTCTGTTACTTAATACCAGATGTTTATACAAGTCTTAGTACTGAGAGTCGACTCCTGATAACTCGATTTCAACCTTCTAAGTTGTTAGTAGATAACCGTGGCAACAAAGCTTGTACACTGTATTTGAACTAAACCGACAAAAAATGTATAGACGAACAATGCACGGCCCGGAAGCTAACAGCCCTCTGTATACTAACCTGTGAGTACTGGCATCTGTTCCCCTTGGTTGGGAAATCTCCGTTTTGTCCCAAAAAAATCCATACTGATGTGCATGTACATCTGTTCAGAATCTGGTCAGGAACCCTGATTGGAATGGTTGACAAATGTAACTTTAATAACTCAATCAGCTATTGTTTACAGATCTCAGAAAAGAGACAAAAGGTCACAAAAATCAAATCACATGGTAATGAATCTACCAAGAGATGATCATTTCCTTGGAAGATATTTGATTTAAACTTGAATTCTTCCAGTTTTGCCAGCACCAAATACACAGAAAAACTCAGATTTTCATGTGATTGACAAGGAGGAACAGAAACTCAAACAACCACCTTAACCAGATCAATTATGAAAACAATGATTTACATCAGCAGAGTGAAATTCTTGAGGCCAAAGCATAGAGATCTCTCTGCTCATGAAACATGTCAACTATGTTAAGTGTATGTAATCACAAGCTCTGCTTTACATAGTA